GAAAAGATCATCCACGGACATGATTGCATCCAATACGATGCTTGCAATAGCGTCAGTTTGAGTTGTTGTTACATTGCTTCCATTTTGTCTGTTGTTGAAAACAAGCAATGACATTTCAACTATTTATAACTTCAATTTACATTTTATATCAATGATACAGGAATCTTTACCTGGTAAGAAGCAGGTACCCCATAATTATGTTAGAGGGGCTGTCGTCGATTTGAACCCTGTTGTATCTGTATTTACCACTATCACGAGAGTACGTGTGTTTTAACAAGGATGGTTTGACAGAACGCCACTTTTAAACATATAACATCAAAGTCATCAGCTATATTTTACGTCAATGGTTTAATATAGCACATTTTGGGGTTCGTACATGCAAGCAATTTGGTGTCAATTGACTTTGTTAGCTCTGAAAATACATAAGTACAGATTTCATATACTGGAATAAAGTAATGGTATTTTTGAGGTTTAAAATTTATATATTTTTGGATGTATATAAAGTACAGATAAATGCTTTAACATATACTTACTGCAACGTTAGACACGGTGAAATGAAATTCAACCGGAGTTGGTTGGTTTTTGTAAGAAAATTGGATCACGTGGTACTGCAGTTTGTAATTTCCTTTCGTAATGTTATTCTGCAATTGGCTAATTTGATCTCCATTGTTGTTTCTTCGTGAATCGATCTGTAAAATATTTTCTTGTAATTGATACTGTGATCCTGAATACTAAGAATGATTTTCTCATAAAATTTTCTTTTGTCTACCAATACCAGCTAATTTCAACAGTGGAAAATGGAAAATATTTTCATGACTAAATACTTCAGGACTCAGGGCACATTTGACCCATCAGACAGGAATGTTGGGTTTTTCTTTGCATTGGCACGGAACAGAATGCAACTCTCAGTCTCAAGAAAAGAAATTCACTCACTTGCGTGTAGTAATATTTGATCACTGTCTTCGTTTGAGATAACATTGATCATGATAAACGGTTGAGAAGTTTTAGATTTTATTAAGGATCTGTCTCCATCCATTCTGCATTAATCATAAACAAATAGGAAATTCGTATAACGCCTTCTCCTGTCATTTTACGCATTATACTCTTTGAAAAGTTTGTTGCAATTTTAGATTTAACAGCGTGAAACGTTTTTGTACTGATGCTCATTGCTATCGTTTTTTATTATAAGAGTCTTATAGCGAACAAGCGTCTTGACAAGCAACGCCTTTACTTGAGGTGGTTCTAGTGTTAGATAATTGTAACAGATATATGTCATGAAATTGTAAAAAATTCTTACCGTACAGTTTGCCCGTAATTCATACTAAAACTTTGAAGTGAACTTCTGATGTATACCTAAAATGAATAGAACCAGAATACCAATAGTGCTTGATTCGCAATGAAACTTGCCTAAAATTATATATAACAAAGTGGCCAGTTTTATGCAACTTTGCCAAGTCTATCATGATTGATTGGTTCTCAAGCTTAAAATCAACCGTTTTCTTGGCAAACAATCATTTACCGTTATTTTTGAAAACTAATAACGTCATTTTTTCAATTTAAACTTCATATCTCATTTTTTAAAGGAAATGTCAATCAGACGATGTAAAATTTATTTAATTGGAAGAACTCGGTTCCATTACATTTGAACCCACGTACATTTAAACCCGCGTACATTTGAACCCACGGCAATTGTACCTGCATACTATTGCACCTATGGAATTTTTTTTTTTACGGATATTTGAACCCATTTTAACCCTAACCAATGGGTTTAGCACCCGCATATGGATTGAACCCGCGAATATACAAACTGGTTCAAATGTACATGAGTTCAAATGTACGTGGGTTCAAATGTACGGTCACCGAAGAACACACCCGATTTCCGTACCCGTCATACAGGTTATTACGTATATCCGATTATTTGATCTGTAAGAATAGCTTACCAATTTGGTTACTGCTCTAATGCTTGATGCTTTTGCGTATATAGGACATTAATAACCTTTGTTGCTTTGTCGCCTGCAAGAAAAAAATTATAATTGTCAGAATCCTATCGCTGTGCAACAAAATTTACAATTTCACAAATAATAAATTTAACCACCAATGAAAATTACTTCGTGAAGATCACGTTTAAAAAACTTGCAAAAATATCTATAGTTCAATGCTTCGAAAGACTAAAAAAACGACAAAAAAATTGCGTTGAAGTTTTCAACTTATTTAATGATGACTACTTTGTATATTGGGCGGGATTTCTAAACTATGAAAGGAGTAAGATGTACAGTATTTGTGAAGTACTATATAACGTTGAATAGTTTCGGTACTGTCATTATTGATTCCAGGATAATAATAGCAACTTGATCCGTATGCTCTAACGATATGTTTTTCCCGTTATCCCTGCAATAAATACGTTAATTTATCAACGTCCAGCACAAATGTAGTAACTACATGCTTTTCATTGATGAAAATCATTCAGTATCAAATAACATAACAATTCGATGAAACCTGGTCATTTATAATATTGTTAAAAACAAATTTAAGCACAAGACATACCAGGTCAAGAATTGGATTTCAATATTGAAAATGGTAAAAGAATGAACAAATAGCAATTAATAAGTATCCGACTCCGGAATTGGTGCACAAGAAAAAATTGAATAAATAGTGTTTATATGACCTTAATTATTTCTAATCATTATCAATTGCTTTACTCAGATTTAGCGACCTTGATAAAAGAATGTATCCCATAACAATATTTGAAGGGTATCCGTCTATCTGAAATCTGTTATTCCTATAAGTTGATGAATAGCGATGATATGTTTGTTCAAGTTTTGATGGCTCGACCGATCCCCAATTCTGATAATGTGAAAAGTACGTTTATTGAAAATCAGGTATTCGTTTGCGATCATTCTGATAACGTAACAGTGAAGTTATTAAATTAGTAGAAGACAACTTATATCATATGTGAAAAACATGCAAGAGGCGTATTCTCAAAAATCAACTCACAATATTTGATACAACGAAGTGAAATTCGCATGCTGTTGGAATACGGGCGAAGAAAATTGGAAAGAATGATATTGAAGTTTGTAATCTCCCTTTGTAATGTTATTGCTGAGAGAAGTGAATGCTTCATTACTATTCGGACGATAAGATTGCACCTGAAATAAAACAAACAAAGTTTTAGTTAGAGCTCTACCGATACAACGGTCCGATATTACAAATTCGCCGACATCGCCCATCGGCAGTTATTCACAAACATATATTGATATAAGCCCTATTTGCATGTTTCAAACAGGTGAGCCTTTTTTCCTGAGATGAAGCTGTGGCCGAGCGTTTTTCGACTCCAACTCACAAAGCATTCGTCTCTCCCCTTTATTCGCGCAGCTGGTCAAAAAGGCCACACGTCTCTGCTGCGTGCATCCGTTCTGCGCCGACTATAAAATTGCTTTTAGGCTATGGGCTGACCTTCGAAATTGTGATTGTCTTTGACCTCTCACCGAACCACGTTTTCGGGTCGGAAGTTTGTTGTTTGAGATATAAATATTATAAAAATCGGTTTAAAATGACCAAGGTCGTTTGCAGTGGTTTCAACTTTTTTGGTAAAAGAAACTCAAATGAAACAATCCAGAAGCTTGAGAGACCCCCCGTGCAATGATTTTAAATTGTCTTATATTGTCTGATTTTATTACCATCTTAAACAGTGTTGGGATTCAAAATTTTGAGAAAGGTTCCTCTTTTGTATCGAACTCACAAAAACACCTCATTCTCACTCATTTGAGAAAATGTTTGTATGTCACATTAACACGTGGCATGCTTTACATAAAGCTAATATCTGACTTTCGAAACGGCAAATATAACGCTAGTCGTAGGCTGCGATGCCAGTTTTCTGCCGTCGTCTAGAACGGGTTTCCCAATTGTCACGATATTCCAACGAGAATATCGGTCAGAGACCGAAGACTTATCGATCGAAAGTTAGGGGATCCCCCATAGCAGCGCTCTTACTCCATAGTGACACCTTGTGTCCCATCACTAATTAATCAATACTCGCTAATTATACGACATAATCTGCCCAAAATCAATAGCTCCTGTCCGAGATATGATGAATGCACGTTGCAAAATCTGGAGAAGATTTAATCTCGCTTTCGTGAGATATCGCGTGCATCTAACAGACAGACATACATACAGACAAGATACCCATCAACATACCTACCGATTAAAATCGATAAGTAATAACGATCAATCCTACCACTGACTACAAATATATATAACGGCAAACATGATATGACAAAACAAAATGACATTTAAAGTGTAGCAAGATCAATAACAGCAGCAAACCTAAGGTGTCTGATTATATTTAAAAAAAAAGGAACATACGAATATTTATGACGAGAATATCGGTCGGAGACCGACGACTTATCGATCTTAGATCGGTAATTAAATAATAACTAATTTGGAGCAGATTCAACCACGCGTTCGTGAGATATCGCGTTCATCTAACAGACAGACACACAGACAGACATACAGACAAATACCTATTAATATACTTACCGATCTTAAGATCGATAAGTAATAAACTCTTAGATTTGAATGTAGGAATTTGAATTTGAGAAACCCTGAAATGTGCTGGCGGAGGAACCCTTCTAGCATTCATATGGAAAAGTTAGGTGTCGAACACGTGACATAAGAGTATCGATTTGTTATTGCACTGACCAATCCCTCTCCACTGCTTTTACTCATTAGTGTCGCAGACCATAAAATGAGTGAGTTGCCGAATAGGCTCACCTGAGTGGAAATGGTTCCATACCTCCGCCTTTCGTTCGAAATAACGTTTAAAAACAAGAAAGGCTTTATCATTCTAGAGCCGCAGAATAAGTCCTCGTAACTGCAAATGATATAATATTGAAATATTTTAAATGTGATGTTTAGATATTACGTCATACATATTACCATGTAATAATATGGGCTGATTTTAGTACAAATGAAGACATATGGCAAGAAGCATAACACTAATTTCACCTTTTCATTTGTCCGTAATTAATAGTTCCACAGCCAGTAGCGGATACCTGTAAAAGAAACGGACCAATGATGATATACTAGAGCAGTGCTCGTCAACCGGGTGTATAGTACACCCCAGGCTGTACCACATCGATACGGTGTACCAGAAGTGTATCGTACCGAATGTTGTAGGGTACACGCTGAAATTGGCAATAATGAAGTTACATTTCTACATATTCAAATGAATATATCCGTTCCGAAATCGCAGAGTTGTTGCTTTATTAGGAACTTGTATTAATGTTTCGAAATTTACAAAACGGTCTTCTGAAATGTTGTTGAAAATCACGTGACTTTGGTGCACATCATGCTCATTTGGGAATTGAAACAAAATTATAGCCACTAAAAACAAAAAACATTATAACGCAAATATAACACTCAATTTTAACGTCCGGTAGCGAAAAGTGTGTGTGCAGATTGTGTTCGTCAGAAATCCGCAAGTGCGCTGTGCAGTCCAAGCGTTCAATGTTCAAGTCACGTGTTACCAGACATTAGAACAGTAAACTGTAATATAACACCCGATTTTGTGGTCTTTGTCTGTTAGCAAAAAGCGTGTGCAGATGTTCGTGTTTTCGTCAGAAATCAGCAAATGCGTTGTGCTGTCCAAGCGTTTGATTCAGCGACGCGCAAATTATTGTCGTGTACAGGTCACGTGCACTTTATCTTTCAAACTGTATGTATTCGCAGGACAAATTTTGAGTGTTACCATTCCTTGTCTTTAAATATCGCTACTGCTCGTCTAAAAGAAGCGGGATGTTTTCGCCCCGTTTCACCTTTTACGTCCACAAAGCAAAGAAAAACGGAAAGAAAAGGAGCGTTCGTCGGAATGGTCGAAGCGTGGTGAGATATCTTGATACATCATCAGGGGCGGATTAAGCCTTTTTGGAGCCCCAAGCACTGAAGAATTTGGTGCCCTCTCATGTGTAATTTAAATATAAAAACGGATAAACCACATAAGTGTATTATCCATTGAAATAATCACAACCAACAGTAAATAAAACAACTTTACGAACATTTTTAGTTTTTTTACCGGCTATATATCGGCCGTTTACTGCTGATATGGTATATCGGCAAACACGCAATATCTGGCCGATATATCGGTTGAGCTCTAATCCTTAGGGAGTGTGACAATAAAGATTCATGCCCCCAGTCTCAACGTGAGTCGAAATACCAAAGGATACAAGTCACAACTGTAGTTTGAAATTTACCGGTACCCTAGTAGTCTACCTCAGAGTGGTTCAAGGTTGCTAGGTTGAAGAACCGCAAAAACGTTTCGTGTCCTATAATTAAGTTTCAGTGTTTATTTTTATTAAAAAAAGGTTAATATGGTACTTGAAGACGAAAAAATAAGCAAACATTTTGAAGTTTGAGTCGTCTGGTGAAGTCGTAATATTTTAATAAACACCGATAAACTATATAAATTCTGCTCTAATATGTCTGTGGTGCCCCTCTTTGCATGGTGCCCTAAGCACGTGCTTATATTGTTTAATGGTTAATCCGGCGATGTACATCATACATATGAATTCAGTGGCGGCGCGTCAATAGGGCCAACCGGGGCAATGCCCCGGTTGTTTTTTCGGTATAAATAAAACATATTCGAAAAATACCTCAATATCGGTTGCACAGACTGTCTACACTAGCCATATTCTCCCGACATGGTTCATTTTTCGCTCGCAAAGCCTTCGCCGAACGTCGACGGGTGACGCCGATTTTGCCCCGGTTGCTCATTGTATATCGGTATTCTCTCTTTTATCTTCCACTCGCCGCGCTTGTCTCGTTTGTTTTCTGTTTCTTTTACTAATCATCGGGGCCGATCGGGGCTAGCCCCGAAATTATGACGACACAATGCCGACGTTTCTTACAACAACGTGTTGACATATTCACGCATTCCTTCTCGTTCGTTGGTTGCTTGAAGAGTTGATAGTTTCCTCGCCTTCGTTTTTGTCGCTTGTTTCGCTATTTGAATCAGTTAGAGACCTTTAGTTCATTTGCTTTCGATTTTCCACATTCCTTTCCGGCTTCGCATTTCTTAGCCTTAGACCTCATAATGAATAAGGTTGATGCACTACTTCGCACTCCGTTTTCGCAGCTGCCGCTGGAACAAAATTAGAGGTACAACGTCTTGGGCCTTATCAACCAAAAAATTGTTCACTGGAACAATCCCATGACGGAGGAGGAAAGCGTCGGCGTACATTCTGCGCAGAAACTTGGTATAAAAACACGAATGGTTGTGTTACAGCGAGGACAAAAATGCACTTTTTTGTTTTTATTGCCTACTTTTTGCTACCGCCCCGTGAGTCACGTTGGTGTAAATTTGGTTTTAGAGTTCTTAAACATCTTTCCGAGCGTGCCAGGGATCATCAATCTTCTATGGAGCATCTGGACAATGCAGTAAAATACCGAACATTCGGAAATGTTAATATTGCAGCACAGTTGGATGAAGGACGCGCGGTTTCTATTCGTCGACACAACCAAAACGTCGAGAAAAACCACCATGTTCTCGGTCGATTGATAGATGTTTTGAAGTTCATTGGTTGTCACGAGCTGTCCCTCCGTGGGCACGATGAACGGGCTGGCTCTTCTAATAGAGGGCTATTTTTGGATATGGTGGAATACACCGCATCCCTAGATACAGTATTGAGAGATCATCTTGATGCCGCAACTGTTTCGAAAGGGACATCTAAGGATATCCAAAATGATTTGCTCGGCTCAATGTATAAAATTTATTTACAACATTTGGCTCTGGAAATTGAGAATTGCCAGTTCCTTTCGATTCAGTCTGACGAGACAACTGACATCACGTGCGTTTCCCAACTGGCTGTGATTTTTCGGTTTGTGAAAGATGGTAAACCTACAGAGAGATTTCACAGCTTTGTACCCATCGTTGATCGCACGGCTTGCGGGATATCGGCTGTACTGAAAGAAGTGTTACAGCCTTACAACGCGAAGTCAAAATTGATAGCTCAAACTTATGACGGCGCGGCAGTCATGAGTGGGTCGAAACATGGTGTTCAAGTTTATATAAAAGAAGATTTTCCTCATGCGCATTTTTTACATTGTTATGCACACCAATTTAACCTCGTTATTAAAAATATGTGTCTTGATACCCCTCTCGTCCGTATATTTTTTGCAAATGTTTCGGGGTTTTCTTCATTTTTTTCCGTTTCGCCGAAGCGCTCTGACCTCCTGCTAGAAGATGGTGAGTTTTCATTTTTTCTCGCTTTTTTCTCCACAATATTCTTTCACGTGGATGTATTATACGGCGCATTGCAGTCAAGGCTAATAGATGGAGCGTCTGTGCAGTCGTGTATTTCAGACTTCTGCGATGCTGTATCTCGTATCCGGGAAACAATAAAATACGACGACACATGGAGTGCTTCTTTACGCTGCGGGCAAACAACGCAGCGTTTGATTTTGTCTGCAAAGGAATGCTGTGACATTCTGGTGAATCAAATAGGCGATCGTCTGCGCACTGAACACCTTGCCGCGTTCTCTTTGATGAACCCCAAAATTTTTTCAAAATTTGCACGTCAATTTTCCATCCATTTGTTGGCTACGGTCTCCAAATTTTACCCCATGATAAACGTGGGTAAATTGGAAATGAATTGCGATGTATATACACCAATCAAACTTTTTTGAACATCACATCAACTTGCGCGCTGTATGGGTTCCTCATAGATAACACTCTAGTAACTACCTTTGCGGCGTCTGCAAAATTACTGGACATCATTTTGACGACGCCTATTTCTTCCGCCGACGCAGAGCGAACATTCAGCACGCTGAAGCGTATTAAAACGTATCTCAGAAACACAATGAAGCAAGATAGATTAAATTCCTTGGCTGTTTTATCCATTCACAGAGACGTTATTTCTGGGATGCATGACTTTAATCAGCGCGTTATTGAGCATTTTGCTTCCAAGAAACCGCGGCGTGTTGCATATATGTTCAAGCAGTAGAAGTCTAGCAGCATATATAAATATGAGTGAGCGACGCATGTCCTTATCTTTGCATTAACTTTCCTTTCTTCATTGTAACGTTTTAAACCTTATTTTAGGTTTTGTCTGCTTTCCCGAAGTTTCTGTTAATATGTCATTGTATTTATCTGGATAAATATTGCCTTTCCTTTTGAAAGAGGTTTCAAAATGAACTATGTCTATATTTATTAATCCCTTGACTTGGACCGGTTTTAAAGACACTTTCTTATCGTTAAAAATTGTCGCTTTTGCCGATTGGTTGTTACCGATGGAATGTTTTTTATACTCATAAAATGATGGGAGAACTTACAGCGCTCATCCTGTCCCCGTAGATGGGGGTGACTTGGTCCCGCAGATTCTTGCCCCGGTTGTCAAAATGACCACGCGCCGCCACTGCATATGATACTATTGCTATTTGTTATATGTGTTGGCTGATAGGCATAATCTTAAGTTTTATGGCTCATTCATCAGTAAGTTTTTTAATAAATATGTAGGCATGTCGGAGCAAAAACATACCTCCTAATACATTCGCCCGGTGTTTGCGACAGTGCAGTGCCGGCAATAATCAAAGTCTTTTAGCTCTGACGGTAGACGCAAATTTTCTCGCGATTTTGCATGCAATAAGATACGTTGTTACTGCACATAATCAATATGTTGAAACTTTTCATGGCAGTCTAATAAAAGACCTCCATATCGCGTTTTTGTGGCATTGTTCTCCGCCCCCAAAAAATTGGTAATGGTAATGGTATTGCTTTTGTCGAATACTGGTAGGAAGCATCAGCATAACTACCTAGTGTGCAACAAAATTTCTTCGCAATATTATTCCGAAGAGTGTGAGATATAACTTGCAGACATTATATTCAGACTAATTTGATAATCTCAATCACCTGCATATATCGGGCACATGGAAAATCTAATACACAGTAAGACCGACTATAGAACAAAAAGGGGGCTCACAACCGTTTTGCAAAATCGTCGTTCTTGCTCGTTCTAACAATCCCATCAACCTTGGCTGATGCTGGCCCTAGCCCATGCTTAATAGAATTTATTATGACACCTAGCACCGATCATTTACGTGGTTATGACGTCATAAAGACGGTGCCTTTGGACCGCCTTCGGTACGCGTAACATGTGGGATTGTGGGTGGTACGCGAGAACTGTAGCCTATGTGACCTGAAATGGTACGTGGATTAGGAAACGCTGCTCTAAAGCTACTGGACCAATTGTTATCACTAATATATTTTCAGTAGCCTACATCAGGTCGCTAGAGAACTGTTATTCCTAATGTTCTCCAAGTCCTATAAGTCTCTATATTTCACCACAATATTTTCTTTCTCCACGTTTCGTTCTGTTACACCAGAGTTCAGCTAGGCTCTTACCGGCCAAATGTGAACGCGGAAATCGTATTCGCGAGCCGCATTAGTCAGTTGTGGGAAACACGAATACACTGACAATATAGAATAGGCCACACAATCAATTTCGTCTAATATTATCTGCAAACTGCAAAGCAGCTAACTCTGAATGAAAATTTGTAACAGGAATGGTAAAGCTAAATAAATTCCCCACTAAGCAATATGGCGTCCTCCGGTTAATAAATGTTCGATATATCGTTAAAAATTGGGGAACGATTATTCGGAAATTATGCACTTTCACTATAGTCATTTTTACTTTCGTGTCCTGTGGATCAAGTACAGTTTTGAGGTTAAAAATCGCGATCGTTTTAAAAACGTTCCATTCATGATACTTTATTCATATGATTGGCCAAATACAGTATTTGACAGCAGTGCGTGAAACAGATAGAAAACCACGAGGGTTATCGAACATCATCCCACGGCTGCGAATGAAGATGCCAATTAATATATAGGCTAAATTGACATGTACAAGAATATGTATACCTGATTTCCATATAGCCAGTACATTTTTTTATCTTTTATTTGAGAAGGGTTGTCTCCATATGTGTAGTTGTACCAATCTGGTATTTGCCTACTAATATTTACAGCATTATTCGCCAAAGCGTCGAGAACATCTTCAGCTGGACTTTCTAAAAATATAAGTCTTGAATCGATTATTCTGTAATTGAATTTGATTGCATGACTCATAACAATTCGTTTGAAATAACTTTTAACGGTATATTGAGTGAATATTTCGACAAACTTTAAAATTTACACTTCTTTTAAATCTAAATTTTACTAGGTAATGAATATGAGAATTAGAAGAAATGTCTCACTCGAAACAATTGTGCAAAACTATTTTGAGTGCACATATCTGGATACACGAGTACACATATCTGCTATCGAAACTCCTAAATAGCAAGATACTAACCTAATTTTAACTTCAACGGGAAATGCTTTTCATATAGATTCTTCAAATTTCCACCGTAATTTTTCATAAACCCATTAGTTGTTCTATAACGAAGGTAGGCTTCTTGCTTCATTGCAGTCAACGATAATTCAGAAGGAACGTGCCAAATCATGATGTTCTCAGCCTGAATCACAGAAAAATATTTTTAACGCGCATGTATGGATTCATGTTGACATTAGATTGTTCTTTCGATGCTTTATATAGAGTAATATTGAAAGTATGAATATAATATATATTATAAAAAAATTGATGAATATACCTGCATATTGTGATATGCATCATTTTTATAGTCATTTGATGTACATTTGAAAAGATTTCCAAACGTGTAATCAGATTCCCAGTTGGTGTTGTCTGTTTCAAACGAAATTTTGTGAATATTACATTTCCTCATTTTACGTTTGAAAAAGTTTAACAGAATGCAAAGGAATGTAACAAACACTTCAGTTAAAGGCTATGAATTATTCGAATCTTTTTACCTGGATATGCCACTTCATTTATCAGATCGTATCTTGACCACAGATCATCTAATCCACATTTCACGGATATATTTGACTCATGCACGCTTGCTACTAAAGTCCACCCACCGCCATCAGACGTCATGTCACAGTAAACCTTTAAAGATGTTTTATTTTGTCAATAGAAATAAGGACATCTTGTTATATTCAAAACTAGTGTTTTTCCGCCACGGTTTTTAAAATTATGTAAATTTTGAAAAATCTCGTGGGAATCATTCGACAATTATCATATATTAATCTTCATCATAACCCGCTAAATTGTCTTCAAAACCAATATTCTATTTATATGTTTGGCATTGTATGTAAGGTTAAGTTATAGTAATATCAAGGTTTACCTCAGTTTTAGGATAATCTTTAATAGTTTGTATGTAATAAACATCGTCAGCGTTGAAACCCAACATCTTCAATTCGCGGCAGGATTTCACCGGACCGCTTTTTCTGTCGGCTACAAGTTGATTCAGCGTTTCCTCCAGGAAAGAAACACTGAAACCGTTGGGTGTAGATGAATTTTTTTGACTATGTTGATCCGAATCCGCACTTTGGTTTGTTGTAGTTGGAATACAGTTGGACGTGGAACTATTTGTTTTAACAGGCTGATCTGAATTTCCGCTTGTTGCAGTTGGAAAAGCAGTGGATGTGGATATATTTGTTTGACTATGCTGATCTGAATTTCCGCTTCGGTACGTTGCAGTTGGAAAACCAGGAGATTTGGATAGATTTGTTTGACTTCGCTGATTTGAATTACTACCTTCGTCTGTTGTAGTCTAAATATTTAGAACAAGTAAATCTAGATCCTTTATAATATTACCGGGTCGTTTAGATTCAGTTTTTTCTTGGCAGTTCCATCATCATGTTCCATAATGATAACAACTTGATACAGAATAACTCTCAATCAGAAACAAACATAAAATTACCTTGCCCTGATGTTGGCCAATTTGTATGAACAGTCCAACCAACAGTAGGATAATAATGACGGATAGGATGACATCAACAATAGCTAATTTTGAAATATTTGCCTCACGCTGATCGTCTCGATTCAATGAAGCAGGTATATTTTGATGGCCATCTTTTTTCGGCAGTGACGGACTCTTGATTGGCGGTCTTGGCACATTTCCTATAGTAACTTGGCCGAAAAACAAACCAGTATATGCGACATTGAAGATTAGATATATAAAGTTTAATAATATAAAAACATTGTTCGCACGCGTCACCTGAGCCGGGGACTATCAGACATGATATATTGCACACATAGTCTTATGAAAAAGGGATATAACACCTATAATTCATTTTTGAGGGCTAAATTTAATTTTTCATTTTACCAACGACAATTCCAACAACTTAATTATTTACCTTGGTTGTTTTCGTATCGAACTTCGCCTTCATAGATGTTTTCCTCTTCATAAGGTTCTTGCCACATTATTCAAGGTATTGTTTATTTCGAGTAGACCGCAGCTAAACCGTTTTAATTATGCAGTTAAACATTACCAATATGTAAAATATATCGTGTCTTTATCCATATAAACATAAGATAAGCTTTTCACGTGAATATACCGCGCCGCTGGGTTTCTGTTTTTTCAAAATTATTTCACAAAAACTTACTTATATATGACATGTTATCGAAAAGGAAAGTGTGTTTGTTAATGGCATGTACGGTAGTATTTTTCCACTTGGATTGGGTTTTGAAATCGCTTTTGAATCACTCCTATACTTCAAAGTCATTGGCAAAATTATTACAAACAATTTTAAATAATAAGCAACACCCGTCTTTGAATATTCTACAGTGTAAATGGGTTTTGAACTTGTAAATGGTCGCGGAGCTTTTCTAAACACCAGTATTTCGATTAATGGGCTTTACTGCCAAGATCATACAAGCAACAACGTAAGAGCTGGCTGTTCGGTTATTAATTCATCTCAAATTGTTGTATTAAACATACTACTCAAATACATTTACAAAATACAATAGACTGCTAGGAAGTCAGCAAGGGGAATCTATTAGGAACAGTACGGATCTCAATACTATTTTGCAAACTATTTTATATTATCCGGATATACATAGATTCCGAAATCTTTATCGAATATTTATTAGCTTAGGCAAATATATATATTATATTAGGCAGATTCACAGTTGTTATGATTCGGCTCTAACCGCCATATAAGAACAAACTTTATAATAATATACTGTATAGGAATTTAAATTACGCTGATGTTTTGACAGTTAGGAATATTAAGTGCAATTTAGATCAGTAGGTGGTCTTCCTGTATGCAAAATAACTTCCTTGGCAAAACAACGGTGTGAAAAATAATAATCACTTATGCCATAACTTTTAGCCTACACACCATACAAAAATATGATAAATAATGAAATTTGGATGTCACTTCCGTATGCCATCTCCAGCCTTGTCCGTAGGAATGAGATTCATATGAAAATTCCATAGGAAACACATGGAATGGGACAGCAGACTTTTGTATTTCCCAAGGGACATTAGTCCTATGATAGAAACTTGATTACTTCCGAACTAAACTTAGTCTTTATACTTTTTTACCCTTTAAATGTGTTTCACTCTCTTTATTCCATGTATACTTGTATTTATTATTTATTTTGTTCCATGTATCAAAAATTACGACAATATAGCTGTTTCGAGGTAGAAAAATTGACGTTGATGTACAATGGCCAAGTATGAAGATATTGTGTCTCCTATTGTTAAATTGGTGTTTCGACAGTCTATCCAATCAATTGCCAATTTTCACGAGTGTCACGCTGCTTACCCGTAAAAGGTACTATCTTTATGAATTGAAGAATTTACTAATGGATATGCAAATATTTGTTACAAACATTATGCAATCACTGTATTTCGATTTATAACGAAAATAAAATATCTTTTAATTGTATCACTTTAAATATAAAACCCAGATCCGTTTTTGTAGCGAGTAAGATTAAATTTTGATTTGAAAGAAAACAAACAATTCGAACTTCTAAACTCTAAATTTTCTTCAAATTTCAAATGCGAAATGTCGCACGAGAATCTACACGCGTATCATATTTGACTTTAATCTCTTACCAGCCGCTGGTCCAGATGCAAACAAATTCGTATAAAAAGTTGTTTCAAAATCTCGCTCATAATTATGATTATGAAATTATAATTTGAGAACTTTTAGAAAATGGGCAAGGCATTTTTTGTGGTATTTTATGTTTGTGCAAATGGGCGAGAAAGCAAATGTCGGCGGCTGCAAACTCGGTGCCAAAGTCTGTGGAAGCAAATGTCCATTTGAGCAATTGTCTACGGGTGCAGTTTATGGGTACAAAATTATGGAACAATTCGAATCAGGCAGTAGTTTATTCAAACTGGAGACATTAAAACGTATGGTAGGCAAACTTTGATTTTTTTTCTCTTGTGGTTAAAAAGGTTTGTTGAAAACGCTGCGGTACCGATACCCCCGTATACAATGGAAAAAATGTCATTAAAAGGCAAAAGCAATGTTTTTTATATAAAGCACAATGGGAACTAGCAAAAGCACAATCTTTCTATAACTACGCAACCCAACAAAGTTAATAAAGCCTACAAATTCATAATTATACGAATCAATAAATTCATTTTACCTTCCTATATCGTTATGTATCGTCTGTTACGCAGGGTCTGCCCTATTGTTACGTAACAATAGAGATATCCACTACTTGCTGCAATTTCGTGAGCTGCAGTTTATTCACATTCTGAACCGAGTTTAGCGAACATAAGGTATTATTTTAGCATTTCAAAGAAAAATCAGGCAGAGATGAGGAAGAAGAGTTGACCTTTTTGTCTTTTTTCCTTAGGCCTAAATGTTTACAAACTTTAAAGGGCATAAAATACACATTACAATCACAAAAATTAGTTTATTTCGTGTAAGCACGCCGTGAGTTTTTTTTTTCTGATATTTGGCGCTACACAAACAAAAAGTTGCCTTAGATAACTAATTATTTGAAAATGAATTTTTGATGCAGGGTAAAGTCGCCTGATCCCTTCTTCGTGAGTCAACTTTATCAAATTCTATTCAGTCACTATGCGTGAGTACTAATTATTAAGTTACAACAGAGCGATGCTCAAATATATGGACACGATAGCCAAAACAAAGTAGTGCGGGTATACAATCTGCCACAGTAGACTACCGGTAACGCAGTCCGTGGAATCGCGTTATCCCGAAGTATATACCTAACGCCCAATTCGAAGTAAACTCGTCATACATATATATATCTATATTTCTGCATAATATGTATAATATATGTACATGTAAGACGCAAAAAAACAAATTATAGAATTAAATACAAAATAAATTTCTTATATGGTCTTGGTGGTGAATGCTATGGACTCTCTGAGAATATTAGAGCGGTTTGCGTTAAAATAAGATGAATATGCATGTTAGTTCAATGATGGATTTCACTCCTTTAATTTACATTTAATAGACCTGGTATATTAAGAAAGAATAAGCTAAAATGAAGGAGTCATTGCCATCGACTTTGAGTAAATCGATTTATTATGAACTTGAACTGATTTTCTTCGAAGGTTCAGGGTTTCTGCACGTTGTGCGGGGGTATCAATAAGGATTGGGCAAACTTTTGAAGCGTACTTTTTCAACCAATTGAAGGAAATTGTATAAGAATGCTGAATTTACCGTATGTGTGGAAAAGCAAACAACTGTATGAGATAATAAACTCATGTGTATTTTGCGTTATGTCAAGTACGTTGGATACATAAAAAAAGAAAGGTAGCAACATTATAACACAAATATGCACGAAATTACTGTGAATTTCAGATACATGCCAATACGCTAGCGATAAAATATGAGGATGGAAGACGAAATATCATTCTGTGAATGAGCAGATCCGTTTGCGGATGACTGGGCAATAATGTCATCTAATTTTCCTCCCCATCCTGAAGTTAATAAAAAGAAAAGTGGTTATTATATTTATATCAATACCGCAAAAGCTTTCGTAGCTTAGTGTGGAGTAAATTAAATAAATGACTGCACCTTACCTATATGCTAACGATATAAATACCTTAAAAACATTCATAACGTACCTGCAAAGTCACCACATGTTCCATATTTTGTTGCGTCGTTTGATAGACCTCCGATGCATGAGAATTCAGGTGAAATTGATTTAACTCTGAAAAATTGTGTCTGTATTAATTTAGTGATGCAGCTAAACGCCACTTCTGTTATTGATAAAGCTGGATTTTCGCTTGCGTAATATGAACGGCGAAAAACGTGAGATGAAAACACAAAAACCAATGAGTTTTCAGATTTACTACAACCAGAATCACCATCATTAGTATCATTCAATTGAGTGAAACACGGAACGAATTCCAATAAAAATGTGGGTAGGCATCGAAAAATGTTCATAAATTTCTTGTTTTCACGATTTTATTTTTATTTTGAATTTTCATAGATTTGGTGTTTTTGCTTTTACCAATCTTCAAATGTAATTTACTTATACACGGATTCTATTTCACGGTGTCGAAAGAACCACAATACACGAAGATTTAACTTGGTAACTAGGCTTGCACGTAATCGACCAAAATCAATTTTGCAATTACGGCAAAATCGCTTACTAATGACCCCGTAATTGTGATAATTTAACTTACATTGTCACGTGCCGAGTTCTCCATTCCTAAAAGTATTGAATCAAGATGACACGCGTTGCAAGCATTGCGGTTCCTTTAAAATTACTTGAATGAGCAGGTACGTTGCGAACCAAATGAAATGCCAATCAGAAACAAAATAAGATACCGACAAATTTCCAGCAAATAGCAACAATTGCATGAGAATTAGCAACTATTTATTGCAAAAACCGATAAAAATGAGCATTGTATTTCAATTTCGAATAAAAATCCTCTTGTTTTTCATACTTTTCGGCAAACCGACTACGTATTTAAAATCGGAAATTCCCATGTAACGGCTTCTGAAACGGTCGCCGCAATTACGCGTTCGTCAAAAGAGCCCACATTTCCAGCGATTAATGATATTTCTATCGCGTGAAATATTCTATCTACAACAACTGCGGGAATTTAAAATGTCTATATTAATTAAATTGCGCTCAACGTAACTCGTGGTTGCGTCGACTTGCCACAAATTAAAAGCTTTACTGCTCTAAAATAACACGGCAATCTGTGAACATGTTTTCCGTTTTATTTCTGCATTTTTATTGGCCGCTTTTCAATCTAGCAAATTCGGGTTGCGGATGAACTAACTGCTTTATTTATGTTTAGCACCTCATCACCGATGATTATATAATAACTCATTTTTCTAACTGAAGTCAGTCAACGTCCTCGTGGCATAAGACATACCGGTATGTCGTCGGAAATTTGTGATTTAGGAAGAATGAAAGCCGAAATAAAAATATTTACAGTCTAAACAACACGTCGCACTGACGAAAATAATCCGCGATTCTAACAAAATGCAATCGCACGACGATTCATTCTTTCAAAAATTTTAAAAATGTTTCAACCTCGGCGTAGTACTACAAACATCTGGCGTTTCACAAAGGCGCATAAATCTCCATATTTGAAAATTCTCATTTCGACTTCAACGTTTGTTCGCGAGGTATAGAAAGAGTTGTGTAGCACGAAATAGACGGGGTAAACGCTTTGCGAGATGTTTTCTAGAACTGAGAGCGTTAGTCAATAATTACGACTTTACGTTATTCCAAATTTGCCGACGCAACTGAAAATAAATTCCGTAAATTACGTGCAAGCCTATTGGTAACACTTACTTTACACCTGGGCACAAAGCATTCGGATATCCTGTCAAATTGTAGGCCCGAAACTGTAGAAATCCCGGTTCGACATGAGGTCTGTAATGGGGTGGTATCATCTCCATAATTTGATCATTGCTCCCTTTGTCAATAGTGATTGGCACCAGGAGGGAATTTTCCGGGTACTCTGAATATCAAAATATAGTATCAGAAGAATAATCATAAAATACAGTAAGAAAACGACGTTAAGTCATTACGGTTGCATAGAACCAATAAATAATACCATTGAACAGATCATCCACAGACATAATTGCGTCCAATACAATGCTTGCAACAGCGTCAGATTGAGTTATTGTTACATTGCTTCCATTTTGTCTATTGTTGAAAACAAGCAAAGAAATTTCAACTATTTGTAACTTCAATTTACATTTTATACCAAAGATACAGAAATCTTTACCTGGTAAGAAGCAAATACCCCATAATTATGTTGGAGGGGCTACCGTCGATTTGAAACCTGTTGTTTCTGTATATACCACTACTGTAAGAATACGTGCGTTTTAACAAGGATGGCTCGACCGAACGCCACTTCTAAACAGAGAAAATTTAAGTCATCAGATATATTTTACGTCAATGATTTTTAATATAGCCCATTTTGGTATCCGTACATACAAGCAATTTGGTGTCAATTGACTTTGTTAGCTCTGGAGATAAATGAGTACATATTTCTTATACTGGAATTAAGTTATGATATATTATGACGTATAAAAGTTATATATTTTTGATGTATATACCGTAAACTATAGATAAGTGCTTCAACTTATACTTACGGCGACGTTAGACACGGTGAAATGAAATTCAACCGGAGTTGGTTGGTTTTCGTAACAGAATTGGATCAAGTTATACTGCAGTCTGTAATTTCCTTTCGTTATGTTATTCTGCAATTGGCTGATTAGATCTTCATTGTTGTTTCGTCTTGAACTGATCTGTAAAATATTTTCTTGTTTTTGATATCGTAATTCTGAATACGTTTAAACAAAGAATGATTTTCCCAATAAATTTTAAAAATTTCAACATGGGAAAATGTAAATTATTTTCATGACTAAACACTTCAGGACTCAAGACACATTTTGTCCCATCAGATTGGATTTTGTCTTTGCATTGACACGGAACATAATACAACTCTCAGTCTCTGAACAAGTAAAGAAACTCACTCACTTGCGTGTAGTAATATTTGATCACTCTGTCTTCGTTTGAGATAACATTGATCATGATAAACGGTTGAGAAGTTTTAGATTTTACTATGGATCTGGTTCCATCCATTCTGCATGAATCATAAATAAAAGAATTTTACGCCTTCATCCTGTCATTTTGCGCATTATAGTCGTTGAAAAGTTTGTTGAGATTTTAGATTTAACAGCGTGAAACGTTTTTGTCGGTTACTCCATATATTTGATAAAAGGAAAATCAATGTACTTATATAATCATTGATAACGTTTTTTTATGAAGAGTTCTGTATCGAACAAGCGTATCGATAAGCAACGTCTTTAGTCAAGGTACCCCTAGTGTCGGAATATCGTAACATATATATGAAACGATAAGGTCATAAATTGTAAAAAATCCTTACCGTACAGTTTGCCCATATTTCATATTAAAACTTCGGAATGAACTTCTGATAAATACCTAAAATGAATAGAACCGGAATAACAATAGTGCTTACTTGCAATGAAACTTCTGACCTAAAATTGTTCATATAAAGCCAGTGGCTTTTATGCAACTTTGACAAGTCTATGTCAGGATTGATTGGTTCGCAAGCTCGAAATGAGTCGTTTTATTGGCAAAAATTCATTTATCGTTATTTTTGAAAACTAATACCGTCTTTTCTCAATTTAAACTTCATATCTATTTTTTTAATACAAATTTCAATCAGAAGAAATGTAATCTGGCTTACTGGCTGAATTGGAGTAGCAAGTAATTTATTTAATAAATAGCAGCGGTAAGCAATCCTAAGTATTTGGCAATAAAATATCGACACACCTGATTTCCGTACGTATTGTACAGTTTATCATCGTATATAGACCAAGTATTTGATCTGTAGGAATAGCTATACCAATTTGGGATTACCGATCTAATTTTTGAAGCTCTTGCGTATAGGACATTTATAATCTTTGTTGGCCTGTCTCCTGCAATTGAGAAAAAAAAATCTTGTAATGTTGAATCCTAACATCCACCCACCTATAATTTTCACAATGAATTAATGAAAATTACTTCATTAAGGTCACTTTTGGTTCGTTCAATGGTTCAAATCATGTTAATTTTCAGTCCATTCTAGTAAAAAAACATTATTGCAAAACATTTGAAAATTACTTTGAATTAAATATTGCAGGCAAGTGATAAGCAACAGAATAACTTGTGTTTTCGCTTTCAGCTTACTTAATTATGACTAATTTGTATATTGGCCGGAATTCCTAAGCTATGGAAGAAGTAATATGTATATGTGAAGTACTATACCATTAAATAATTTCGGTACTGTCATTATTGATTCCATGACAATATTAGCAACTTGATCCGTATGCTCTAACGATATGTTTTTCCCGTTATCCCTGCAATAAATACGTTGATTTATCAACGTCTAGCACAAATGTAGTAACTATATATTTTCGTTGATGAAAAACATTCAGTATCAAATAACATAACAACTCGATGAGACGTAGTTATTAATAATATCGTTGAGAACAGATAAGATATTCTAGATCAAGGAGTGAATTTTATTATTGAAAATGGTAATGAATGAATAGATAACAAATAATAAGTATCCGACTCTCGTATTGCCGTACGCAAGAATCAATCGTGTTTAAATTACTTAAATTATTAAATCTTTTGATCATATATAGTGACCTTGCTAAAAGAATGTATCCCATAACGACATTTGAGGGGTAACCGTCTATTTGATATTTGTTTTGTCTAGTGGTTGATGGATTGCGTTGATATGTTCGTTCAAATTTTGATGGCTCGACCGATCCCCAATTCTGATAATGTAAAGAGTATGTTTATTGGATATCAGGTTCCGCTTGCTAACATCCTTGTAACATACTAATACCCACAATATTTGATACAACGAAGTGAAATTCGCATGCTGTTGGAACACCGGGCGAAGAAAATTGCAAAGAATGATATTGAAGTTTGTAATCTCCCTTTGTAATGTTATTGCTGATAGAAGTGAATGCTTCATTACTGCTTGGACGATAAGATAGCGCCTGAAGTAAATATCATTAGAATCGAGTAACAAAACAAGGTTGTAATTAGAGTCCGGCTAAAATAAGGGCCCGAATTTGCCATTCCGCCGACTTATCCTATCGGCAGTAATCTATCGCTATAGTCATAATACGACTGCATCAAAAAAACGCGGTAGTATTGTCAGTCAGGCTTCATTTATCTCTGGATTTGTGGCTTCGGGAGCAATATGTAACCTTGATCTTTCTGACTCACCTAGATCACTGTTTAGTGTGTATTTCAGTTCCAGTCTTGTAATGTCAGTGGAGCTCTAGTTGTAACTAACAGTTTGGTAATAAACCAAAGTCTTCTCTGAATTTTATTACCATTACAAACAGTGATTCAAAATTGTAAGAAAGGTTTTTCTTTTGTATCGAACTCACAAAAACACCTCGTTCTCACTCATTTAAGAAAATATTTGTATGTCACTACGTAAGCTGCATTCACACAAATCTAATATTTAACTTCCGAAACGACAAATATAACTCTAGTCGTAGGCTGCGATGCCAGTTACCCATTTTCCCCCATCGTCTAACGTCTACAACGAGAACGGGTTTGCTAATTGTCGCGATATTCCAAAAACGGGTTCCCGCGAACCCCTGATTCTCACCGCTGAGAAATATAAATATATGAAAGCAAACCTATATATATATGAAGGCAAACCTGATACTGGCAAAACAAAACGATATTTAAAGTGTAGCAAGGTTAATAATAGCGGCAAATCTGAGGTATCTGATGAATTTTAAAATAATAAACGAATATCAATATAGATTTCCGTATTTGAATTGAAACCGGAGGTTCCCTCTGGAATGTGCATGCGGAGGAACGAACTTCTGGAATGTGCTGGAAGAGGAACCCTTCAGGCATTCATATGGAAAAGTTAGGTGCTGAACAACACGTGACATGATGAGAGTACCGATTTTGTCATTGCACTGATCAACCTCTTTCTACTACTTTTACGCATTAGTATTGCGGATCATGAAATGAGTAAGTTGCCGAATGAACTCACCAGAGTGGAAATGGTTCCATACCCCCGCCTTTCGTTAGAAATAACGTTAACAAACAAGAAAGGCTTTATCATTCTAGAACCGCAAAAAGAGTCCTCGTAACTGTAAATTAAACAATATTGAATCAATTTAAAAGTGATGTTTAGACATTACATCATACATATTTCCATGGTATAATATGGGTTGATTTTAGTACAGATGAAGACATATGTCAAGAAGTATAACATTTATCTTACCTTTTCATTTGTCCGTAATTAACCGTTCCACAGCCAGTAGCGGATACCTGCAAACGGGAATGGACCAATGATAAAATACTAGAGCAGGGGTGGCCAACCGGCTCAAGTCGGTTCTTTGCGTAAACGATATTTTGTTTTTAATGTGCGCCACGTTTGCATTGTTGTCTCCAATTGATTATTTTATGATTTATTATATTTAGAATCCCTGACTTAGGCTGTACACCCTTCGTATATCGTTCCTCAATTGTATACCCTAAAAATGCACTGAACTAGAGTGTTTGGCTGAGAAATGGTTCATTCAGTCATGGTATTGCTTTTAGTCGAGTATTGGTAGGAAGCATCAGCATTACTAGTTATATTGTATTATATGGGTAGGTGGCTCAAGTTGTACAGTTTTAAGATTTTCTTCCGTAAAAAAAATACTTCCGTTTTCAAACGTTTCATTTATAATATTCTATTCATATGATCGGCTGAATACAGTACTTGACAGCAGTGTGTAACAGACAGGAAATCCGGAGGGCGTCCCACGGTTGCGGATGAAGGTGTCTGTTAGATTTGACCTCGCCTACTTCACACTTTTGGCCATTTATATTTCTCTATTACATTTACAATGCCAGACCAATTCTGTTCTATCTTTATTATTTCAATTTCCTGTTGACAGTTACTCATTATTGCGCCACAGTAGGACTTAGAGAGTGAAACTTTTCCTCCGGGTGTTGAGATAACGTGCTTCTGATTCTTTGTTCTATATAGCCAGGGTGGCCAACCTGCTTTCGACCGCGATCGACTAAAATCTTTAAAATTGATCGCGATCCACTGATCGGCGTTACTGTCATATACAAAAACGAATGAGTACTGAATATGCAGATAACTACACACACACACATACAAAAAATGCCACTGCTGACAATTTTAATTTGTTAATTTGATTATGTAAATGTACCCGGAGTAAACTTTTATCATTTATTTAGGATTTATTCGAATCATACATCCCTCCCTAATATTTAGACGTTAAGTGTTGAAAGTATCTCAAAAAACCCGGCCACTTAGGCTATCCACATTATCTGAAAAGCGGAAAATAAATATTCCCAATGACTGCTCAAACTTCAGTATCTAATTTATACAATTTTTCGATTCCGATTCTTCTATTGCTTGGAATTTGAAAAAATTGGGCATTCTGATGCCACTGCTACCGTTGCAAATAGAATTTATCACACTACTTTTGGAGGAAGACAATAACTTTCGCCTACTGCAGACGTTATTGTAGGATCGTTTCCCAGTCAACACACACGATGTTTGGCAGGTTCATTTCTAATCCTAAAACTCAAATACTATAAATGACTTATGTGTATATATCGTATTTTGCGCATATACAATACTGCAGGGGTACTAAAATTCTTAGGTAAAAGGGCCGCATTTTGACCACAAAAGATGCGACGGGTCACAGAATATTATTACCATGTGTTTGTACTATTTGATTCATTTAGTCCGGTACTGATGTTTGATATGCTTTTTGTTTAAAATTTTATGCACCTTAAAAAATACCGGTAGTTGATGAATAGCATTCGTAAGTTTGCAGTTGCAACTTCACCCCTAGCGAGAACTATGACAGAATTTTACAACATAAGAAAAAATATAATCAGACCTAACAGCAACAATGCTTTACAATTACAATAACGTTTCACAATCGTTTTATTTTTAATGCGATAACTGAGTCTACATTCAGTTCACAAGTACTTCAAAAATATTTTCCCCAAGATCACAACCAGATGAATATGCGATTTTGAACTGTGGGTGAAGCGGTTCGTGGTGTCGTTGTAAATTTGCTTGCTTCTTTGACGAACAAGACACATGGGTTTCTTATCTACCGTTGTGAAGCGCATTTCCGAAGGTAGAGGATGCGATGAGCGAGCTAAGTAACTCAAATTTTACGTAACAATATGTAATTCATCTATTTGCTGTGATGACACAATCCATAGTCTTATCATGCGCTGTAAGGGATGAGAATAAATGATATCGGATTTAAAACTCGTTTATATTCGTTACGCCGCATATATTATGATATATGTTTTGGTTCATCAAAGATCTTCGAAAGGCCGCAAAATATTATCGGCGGGCCGCGGGTTGAAAATCCATGTAGTGCTGTATTCGCCCTGTATTAAAACACACAGCAGGCGAGGCGCAGCATGAAACTGTTTCCAGGCGATTTTGGGGGGTATGTTAATAAATTCACTGAACATCAGACGCGATTGACTCTGCGAGACGTGTTGGCCACTTCTGCTGTATGTTATTAATATTGTTATTATAGGTATTAATTAATTAGTGATGGGACACAAGGTGCCACTATGGCGTAAGAGCGCTGTTTTGGGATCCCCTAACTTTCGATCGATAAGTCTTCGGTCTCTGAACAATATTCTCGTTATCGTATTATTATGTTTCCCTGATGTACTTATTTTGGGGTTTATATCAATGGCAGCCCTGTTTATAGTGCATACGTGTCGTTATAAATTAGTTTTATCGTTGGTTTTTAAGTTTATGTACTGTAGCAACATTTTACTCATATGTGGAGATTGATGAATACAGTTCGTTTTCTAAGGACCTCGTTGCCTCTTTACTTTGGTTGTGCAGTTACAAGAATCTGGGAAATTGCGCATAATTCTTCAAGGCGGGTGCGGGTGCAAATAGGACTCCACTACAACAACGTTGAGTGGATTGGAATTCACGTTCCAACTTTACAGTGCCGGTTAATATATTATAATTGTTATTATAAATGGGCATTTACAACTATATATATATATATACCTGATTTCCATATGACGAGTACATTTTTCTATCTTTTATTTGAGAAGGATTGTCCCCATAAGTGTAGTCGTACCAATCTGGTATTTGCCTTCTAATTTTCCAGGCATTTTTCACCAAAGCATCGAGAACATCATCAGCTGGACTTTCTGTGAATATAAACACTGTTGAATCGATTATTCTGTAATATTCGTATTATTATAATGGTTGTAGATTTCCACGAGCGGTTGTGCTTACACTTTTCACGGATATTAATTTTGCAAAGCAATGATTACGAAAATCAGGGAAGATTACTTACTCAAACATGTGTGCGAAACTATTTTGTTTGTTTATACATAATTGAATACATGAGTAAATATGCGGTACGGTATGAATTCTATTGTAATATCTGCGAACAAAACTCTCAAAAAGCAAAATTCTAACCCAATATTTTGGACTTCAACGGGAAATGCTTTTCATATAGATTCTTCAAATTTCCACCGTAATTTTTCATAAACTTATTGGTTGTTCTATAACGAAGATAGGCTTCTTGCTTCATTGCAGTCAACGATAATTCAGAAGGAACGTGCCAAATCATGATGTTCTCGGCCTGAATCAGAGAGAAAATATTTTTAACGCACATGTTTGGCGATTCATGTTGATATCAGTTTGCTCTTTCAATGCTTTGACTAGAGCGATATTGAAGGCAGGGATATGATTGTTTAATGAGCTTGATAAACATACCTGCATATTATGATATGCATCATTTTTGTAGTCGCTTGATGTACATTTGAAAAGATTTCCAAAGGTGTAATCAGCTTCCCAGTTGGTTTTATCTGTTTCAAATGAATTTGCGTAAATGTTACATTTTTCCCATTTCACGATTGAACAAGTAAGTTAGGCAGCATGCAGAGAAATGAGACACTTTACTTATAAACTGAGAAAGATTTGTATTTTCACCTGGATATGCCATTTCCTTTATCAGACCATATCTTGACCACAGATCATCAAATCCGCATTTCACTGAAATATTTGATTCATGCACACTCGCTACCAAAGTCCATCCACCACCATTCGAAGTCATGTCACAGTAAACCTTAAACATGTTTTATTATATTAATACTGGCATAATTTATGATATGCTAATATATATAGGAGTAACTTATACAAGTACATAATCCAAAATGTCATGAAATACATTAGAAAATGTTGCGGAACCCTGGTTGAAAACCACTGACATCTAGTAATATAAAAGATCACCTCGGTTTTAGGATAACCCTTATCGGTTTGTATGTAATAAACACCGTCGGCGTTGAAACCCAACATTTTCAATTCGCGGCAGGATTTCACCGGACCGCTTTTTCTGTCGGCTACAAGTTGATTCAGCGTTTCCTTCAGGAAGGTAACATTGAACCCGTTGGCTACGGATGGATTTGTTTGACCTTGTTGATCCAAATTACCACTCTGGTTTGTTGCAGCTGGTAAATAGTTGGATGTAGATTGATTTGTTATACCGTGTTGATCTAAATTCCCACTTCCGTTTGTTGCAGTTGGAAAAGCAGTGGATTGATTTGTTTGACTGTGCTGATCAGAATTACCACTCCCGCTTGTTGTAACCTTAATATTTAAGAAGAAATCTAAATTATTTAAATATTTACAGATCGTTTAGTTAGATAACAGGTCTTTCTTGGCTGTACCAAATATAACGATACGCCTGACAGAATATATGTTAATTGAAAAAAAATAAAAATTACCTGTACTTGATGTTGACCAATTTGTGTGAACAGTCCAACCAGCAATAGGATAATAATGACTGATAGGATGACATCAACAATAGCTAATTTCGAAGTATATCCATCACGCTGATCGTCTTGATTCGACGAAGCCGACTTATTTTGGTTGTTACTGTACTCGCCGTCTCTTTTCGGCAGTGAAGGACCTCTTACTCGCAGTGTTGGCACATTCCCTATAGTGACTTGGACCAACCAGATAAACAATATATCTGACGTTAATAATCGAATAAATTTTGAAGACAAAATGAATACGTTGAAGAAAAAAAATTCATCGTATGGGTCACCAGGGTCAGTGACGTAATATATATTGAATAGAAGATTGAAAAATATATAAAGTCTTCAATTATTCTCCAATGTGTGGTAAATGCATCGACGACTGCTCACTTATTGCAACAAGAAAGTATAAGTTGTTAGATAGTGGAAAAACTGCTAGAGGGAAGGAATATTGCAACCTTGGTGCTACAAAAGCCCAAATGTCTCTAAAATGTTGAGGGCTCAAGTCATTTATTTCTCAGACAGCCAACTGCAGTTAAAAGCTGATAAAAGTGTTTGCGTAGAGATAAGTCTAGGCGGCATTTACAGGCGGGTAATGATATCTTTTGGCAAAGCTCTGACATGATATATTGAATTATATCATTCAGTAAAATGTAAAAACGACTTGATTTCATATTCACTTACATACGCTTACAGCTGATTTTCAGACTTTCCGGTAAACGAAGCTAGGTTTTATTGGTACATTAGGAATAAACAGTCGTTCACTTAATTATTACCAGAGTGTTATAACAAAGTAAAAAGAAGAAAGCACCCAAAACAGTAAGATTCAGAAGTACGCGGAAACGTGCACCTGTGCCAAACGTATATCAGAAATTTATGCGTAGTTTAAACAATTTGGGTATATGCGGTGGACTTTTGTTATTTTAACATAATTAATGAACTTGGTGATAGAAAGGCCTCATGGTAAACAAATGTTTCTGAGTACCTTCGAAGAACTCCCAACAACATTTTCGCGAACCCCGCGAGGATTCGATCTAATTCAGGTTAAAAAACACGGGTTTAGTATATGAAGACTTCAAATATTCTTTAAGGTACGGTAAAATCGTATTGTAGGTATACTAATCCATAGATTTACCTTGATTGTTTTCGTATCGAATCTCACCTTCATAAATATTTTCACCTTCATAAGATTCTTGCCACATTATTCCAGGTCTTTTTTATTTCGAGTAGACTATACTGTTCTACCGTTTCAATTATACAGACATGCAAACATCACTACTGTGCTGTAATCTATCATGTTAAGTCAATATCAGAGTTTCAACATAAACATTGAATATAGAATATATTTCATGAACAAAGTAAAATCGTCAATTACAACATATGGATTCACCGAAACGATTGCCAGACTTTCTACCACCGTGGTTTATTTAAGATAAGTTGTTGACTTTTATTTTTATGTTCTCACCTGGTTTACTCATTTTGGTTCCCCCGGAGTATGTGAACAAAGATGGCGGACACAGGAACGTAGTATTTGTACCTGAAATTTCGGCCTAACCCTAACCTGGTACACATACTACGTTTCGGTGTTCGCCATCTTGGTTCACATACTTCTGGAGTACCCACATTTTTGTTTATTTATCTTCTTAATTCGAATATTCCAAATACCCCAGCTCTTTTTTTCCAAATATGTAAGCAAATAAAAAATTGATATTGGTATCGACAAAATTTAGTTATCATATGATCAATACTAAGAAGTTTTAGACAATAGTTTTTTGCTGATTTTATCATTCCGATTTCAATTTACGCATAAAACGAAATAACTCTAGCAAAGGATGTTTTACTTTGATTGCACAGAACGGCATTCACGCAATTTGAATCATCCTTCCTCCAGAGCTTTCATATCGGCAATTTTAATTTGAAAATTTCTGCCCGAGTCTCTGACTGGTTCTCGTAAGCGTTTGTCATTGCTGTATTAATTATTGACTTTAATGCAGAAAAAAATCGACAGAAAAATGTTCTTCGTATCAGAATAACTAAATTTCGGATTAGAATTCCAAGCGCATATGTCACGCCATTAGGCTTTCATTCTTCAAAATAATTCAACACTAGCTATCTTCTATATATATATATGTTAACGAGATGAAAAATGTATTTGTCCATGCAACCCTTCTTTTTTTTACGTAGATTGGCTTTCGAAATAACTTCTGAGTTTCATTTTGATTGGGTTTTTGAAATCACTAGTAAAATCATTGACGTAAATATAACATACCTAACAAAATAAACCTACATGCCTGACGACAAGAGTGAGTGAACGTAGCTAGAAACGTGTGTATTTAACTCTGATCATTACCATGCCGCCTGTGGATAACCCACAATTTAACGGGTATTAGAAGTCTGTTACTCGCGTTGCTCTTTCAGTTACCAAAATTTCAATTCATGGTCACAACCGCCGAGATTATTTAGGCCAGGCTCGAAGAAATGACCTCTAACTTCCTTCCGAGACTCGCTCAATCTAACATTGTTGATTCGTGGCTGATTTCTTCACCTTCGCTTTATACAATACGCTGCTAGTAATTTAGTAAGGTGAATTGCCTATCGCCTACAAATATCATGACTCGGCTCTAGCCCTCAACAACACAGAGCATGTGTGATCAGCATTGTTCTCACCGTTCGAAAGTGCAGCGTCATATACGCACCCTGGTGAAAAATATTAATGTCCGCACGATGGGTTCAGAACCGTCAACGTTGATATATTGAGTCAACTTGGGTCCAACCGGTTAATGGCAGCGTAATAAGTTTTATTGTTGTGCGTCACAATGGTTCAGAAGCAATTTCGCGCGATCTTATCGTTCGATGTGCAACTTCTACTTTGAGATATCATAAAGGGAAATAGCATCAACTGCGATCAGTAGCTACCAGCTCGTTTAATTATGTACGGTGCGATACCAGTGTATCATAAGAGAGCGTATATCATATATTCCTGTGGCAGAATGCCCACCAGTTGAATGAAATTGAATAGACACTCTTGCAATAAAATGGTGAACAATATATTCTGACCAAAAACCGATTCATTGGCAAATTTTCATAATCGGCAATACTAGTACTTCAATTAATTTTTGGTGCTTACCAATACAGTTAGTAATATTCTTTTGAATTAATAGCCACGGGAGATAATTTGCAATGAACTAAATATTTTTGAATGAATTGTACATTATTAAAGTGATTTGTACCTGATATGCCAGTTAACGGTTAAAATAAATCGTAAATCTTCCCCGTTTAAAATCGGTTAACCATTTCCAGCCCTAATGATGATATATTTCACACAATGTCTACGAACAAGGCCGTGAACAAGATCCCACTGATTCGCGGGGTTCTACTTTCTAAACTTCAATTGCATAAAGGTTGTGTATAGTCATAAAACTGATTCGTAAGATCTATTTTTCACACCTTTACAGGCGGTCGTTAAAGCGAAAGAAGTTACTTTTCACTGGTTTGAAGGGATCTATTTTTTGAATTTTCACTGCAGTTACTGTTAGTATATGTACCAACTTTCCGGTATGTACGTCATTTAAAATTCTAATTACGCTTAAAACAAGATGCTATGTTCCTTACTGAAATTTTGATATAAATATTGCGATTCTCTGCAGTTTTATTTCTACATCACATCTAAAATGATTCAATATTGTTTTATTTACAATTACGAGGACTCTTTCTGCGGCTCTAGAATGAAGAACGCTTTAAATTATTTCAGACAAAATGGCGCAACTGAATATATTTCCTTGAAATTACAATAACCATGTAGGATTATATTTCCTCCAAGAAATTATTGCGATATTCGATTTTGTTAGGGTTAGGGCTTATTACACTTTCATGATCTTTGGGGCCCCCAAGCTCTTCTATAAAAAAATAAGATAATCTTCTTCAAGTATTTTATTCGCCACTTACAAATGAAATCGAAAGAATAAATGCATTACAGTCAAAGAATTGAACAAATCACAGTCAATTTACTTTAAATTAATGCATTCTTCACAAATGGTACCTGGTGAGGGTCTTTACTTGTAGGGCCTTCTCAGGGGCCGTGACTTTGGTTTTGAGAAACCTTCAGTCAGTTAGTGAAAAGGCCATACGGTCAGAATTTTGCTAACCATCCCACGTGGTAATTATTGGACACATGTGCCTATGAATCGTCTTGTTATAATGTTGTTGTTGTTGATTATCATGCTGTAAGTAATCCTTTCTCTCTTTTCTTCTAGGCAAAAAATTGCTTTTCTCATTAACTATCGGAACAATTGATTTGATATTTTCATCAAATATTGCGCACCTTGTGGCGGTTACGTCTACGTTGGTCGTTACAAGCATTTTGCAGATCACCTGGATGCAAAATATCATTTTTAATTAGTATAAATATATAATAAAACAAGTTAGTCACTTATACGCAAGAAGTTATTATATTAGAAGTACGGGTATGTATTCAGTTGGGTATTGTTTATCCACTTTATAACAGCGGGAGTGAAGTGGCGAGCATGGAGTTTAAAGTCAAGATCAAAACTACCAACTTGATCATGACTTAAGATAGTTTGTATAATTCGAAGGGCGAGCAAATTCGTGATATGCCACAATCAAATGACGAATCACTAACCCCAGTCCGAATGGGAATGGAAATAGCTAACTAGTCGATTGTTTCAATATAGAAAGGTTTGTTACCAAAACCACTCTGGAACGCGGCGAGTTCATAAATATTCCAGCACATATTCATCCTTGTGGAATTCAAACCTGCAAACCCTTCGTAGAGTAATCAAAAGTACAAAAAGATGCGATGTTATTCGTGCTTTTTATCACGAGGCGTTTTCATACCGTCATTCCTAATAAGGATCTGTACAAGCACCCACATATACACACCTGCCACGATAATCTAACTGACGTTATTTGTCACAGCCAAAAACTGGTATAACATTCAGTAATAAAAATCGGAATTGCATTCCAAAAGAAGTAATATACTCTATGATATCAAAAGCACTCTAAGCCCTGTAATATGATTGGGCAACAATTTGGAAAAATTTTTTGTTTCGGTTATTTGGTAATTCAAGTAGAATACGCATTCAAACTTCATTTTTTGATCAGAACCCTCATATAGCAGAAAAGAATAGGGGGGGGGGGGGGGGGGCGTTATTTGGTAATTCAAGTAGACGACAGACGACAGAAAATGTTCAGTAGACCGTACTGTCAGTAGAAACAAAAGGTACCTTGCGCATGCTAAGCGCGCACTCTACCACATGAGCTACATCCCCAGCGTGGTGGGAGATTCTGAACAGCTCGTTCCTCGTAGCGGGGGCGCAGCGGAAGGGTAGAGTCATGGTCAAACATCAGGCCAGGTATGAGGGTGGGATTAAACCCCACCCACAGGGTAGACCAAGTTGCAGGGAGGGACCAGCAGACAGAATAGGTGTACGATCTTACCGCGCCCCTTTCATCACGTTTAAACAGTCCAGCTGAAACCGTTTCAAGTGGAGGGAGTTTGTTGTTGCTGATCTTATCCTGTTCTTATCACAGAAAGTCGTTGGTACTCAATCACTAAGCTATGGGTCAAATCTCTCGTTCATTTGAGTGGTGAGTGATTCGTAGACGCTAACTGGACCATATTGGTACTCAATCACTAAGCTATGGGTCAAATTTCTCGTTCATTTGAGTGGTGAGTGATTCGTAGACGCTAACTGGACCATATTGGTAGACATCGATTTACTACCACCGATAGAAAAGAGGGTATCAAAGAATTTTCCATAGGCGATACAAATTTACTCATCATGGCTATAAAAACGTCACGGAAAATATAACAACTTGATGGAAATCATTTATCTACTAGATGTACATAAAAAAACAGGACCAAAGCATAACAGTGATAGCCAGGGGGAATCATTATGAAGCAAACACCAATATCGTTCAGTCGAGCGACCAATTTTACTTTCCTTCCCGAAAGGTGTGCTGTACCAACTGTACCAACAAGTGAAATAGCAAAAACACACAAATTCTCGACTTTCCTGTGATTTAGCTATAGATAAGCTTTGTAAGATGAAAAAGTGACCACGAAACAACGCGTTATTACTACCTGATACAGAAACAAACCTATTACACTGAGCGAGACATGAGGAATCGAGAAAATCCTGTTGTGACTTACATGGAATAACAAGTCATTTATATTTTAAATTCCGCACTGTGATATTCTGTTATATGTCAAGTTTATAAACTGAGGAAACATTTGATTAAATAATACGGATTTGTAGGTTTCTAGTTCCAGACTGACATGTAGGATGCGCTGGAATAGTTGAAATATACGTAACATTTTTAGAATCGTGACGAACTTTTTGCCGGTCGTGGTATATCGATCATGTAGTATTTGCAGGCCATGTTTTGCCGAGAATCTGCTAAAGTGCGTTGATCTTGTTTGATATACTATAATGAAGAAAGATCGAACTGCGGAATTATCTTTGATAACTAATCCGATGCTGGAATGCGCGTGAATGTCGATCGTTCAAAATTTTGGGATTATGGCTGACGCAGTCAAAGGTCGATTGCGTAAGATCACCATTTGCAGTTCATGTGATTTCCTCACATTTCTGAGCATTATTAACACGAAACTAACGAATGCCAGATAAACTTTCCGAAATTGTGAGATAGACATACAATCTATCGTTATTGTTGCATACAATTGTTACGCTTTTTCCATACTAAAATCATTTTATCACATTATTAGAAAAGTGTAGTAGAGATTATACGAGTAGAAACACTGAATTTTATCTTAATGGTAATTTGATAGTGGTTTGCAGCTTTACTCGCGATGACATACGGTATGGATAGGTGGACAAATTATGTGAAGAACTGGCGCTCTTAGTTTTAGTGATGTTGAAATATTTGTTGTAAAATTAGTATGAAGTCTTATATACACCAGTACGACGAAAGGCCGGTAAAGACTGCGAATTCCATTGAATAAAAATCAAAAATATATGCTATTGTACTTCAAAGAATTTGCAACATAATTGTATATATTCATTTCAAATAGTTATATTCGAGTTTTTCAATAACGTCGATAGTTTTGTTAAAATATCAAAATTTGCAAAATCTACAAATCAATTTGCTATTTATCCGCTTTTTATGATATATTTTTTTACTTCTCGATTCAATGGGCATGTTGTCCTAGAGATTTGAAATTGTTATCAGTGATTTCAATAGAAACCAGAGGAGCCAAATCACATCACATTTCTGTGATAAAATACAATTCAAACGAAATTCTATTGTGTTTATTCAGATTTATTTAGCCTTATATGATTTTCTGCATATAAGACATGATGTTCAAGATCGCACTCCTCGTGCTGGTTTTAATGTTTTGTTGTTTGAGGCACACGATTGCAAACAGAGATACGTTAACACCTCCGTATACTTGCACCACAACAACGAGAATATGTAATTCAGAAGAGTCGAATTCTATCAGGGAATATGAAATGGCCGGACCTAAAGGTGAAAAAGGAGAAACTGGAGATCCTTGCCATTGTGATGCTGCTGAAGAACAAGATATAGAAGAAATTAAGGAAAAAATGATGCAACTGGAATCTGAAAATCAGAATATGAAAGCAACTATTAAGCAGTTGCAGGGTAAATACCTTTTTTGCATCGTGTACTTCTACAAACACAAATATAGGTCGGTGAATAAAGATGTAAATTACTGTGGATAAGAAATACTAATATAATTCCAATATATGGGAAAAGATTTATGCATAAATTTCAGTGCAGTGTGAAACTAAAATGCTGTAATTGGCTCTTCTTCTTCCTCCTTAGAGATCATTTCTTTTAGGGAACTGCGAACTCAATGGTCAGTTGGTCAATGCATTATGCATTATATTGCATTAAAAATAAAGTCAGCCGTAAACAGTTTTATTAATTTTACAGGCCATTGCACGCATGTGTTTGCGTTTTTTCGTATAATTATTATATATTAGTTAAGTGAAGAAAATCTTTATAAAGAATTTTTTTGTGATATCTATAAGTTATTTCGAAAATCACAATTTTTCAGAAACTTCCCAGATGTTTCCTGCAAATTGCTCCGAATACAGAAAACATCCCGCTGGTTACAGTTTGAACAATGTTCCCATTTATCCTCTAAAAATTGTTGGTGACGTAACACCCTTTATCGTGGATTGTACTAATAGCAGTGATGATGACTGGATTGTAAGTTGAATTGCTTGTGTTAGATAAAATTTCAAATAAATGTAAAATACTTGATTGATAATGAAACACATTGGTTTCAAATTGTCCAGACAGGGTACGCTAGAGCTAGATGTCTCAAAGGTTGAGTCGCTCACACCACAACTACTTTAATTTTGTCTATGTAAAATGATTACTGACGACATAACCTGATTTCAAAGTGCGGTTCGTAACCTGACTATATGGTTGATAGGTTTGGTTGTGCAACTAGGTGAACTCTCTATTTTCAGAAGGCAGACTAACACTACGTGTAATGGCAGGATGTTAGGTCAAATAGTTCAAAGTTTAATGTAACATATGTGATTTTCGTTCTCCCATGCCATGTTGTTTTTTATTATTTGGATAAATTTAAATCAAAAGGTTATACAAAGGCGAACGAATGGTAATGTGGACTTCTATAGAAACTGGGAAAGTTATGCAAGTGGATTTGGCGACAGAGATGGAGAGTTTTGGATGGGTACGCATATTCAATAATGTTCGTACTAATATCGTAATTTTGTGATACTCAGTATTTACGTTATTTATGTAAAAAAATTACTGCCATTTTGTAGTTTGTTTTAACGGGTTCAATACAAGTAAAAATTACTTTGTACAACAGATTTGTTGATAGGTACAAGGTTTTTAACATTACCAATGATATGGGGCGTTTCCACTCCTTCATTCGAAAAAAAGGTTGGTGAAAGCAAGAAGACTCCGTTTTAAAAAGGAAACGGAATGTTTTTGTTTCGACACGAATTCTGAATTTATTGCTTTGAGAATCTGCGGTTTCATAAATTCTGAACATTCCTGAATACCTATTTGCGTTTTATAGTTACCTTTTACCTAATTGAATTGTAGGGAAGATAATTGATACCTTCATTCAGGGCTTCGTACCATGCATAAACTGACGAGCACTAGAAATTACAAGCTTCGTATTAATTTAGTATACAAATCAGGACTGGTCACAACAGGCGAATACAGGTAATTAATTATTTGAATAATACTTTACTTTATTTAAAGTATTCAATACGCTAATAATTAGCATATTTCGTATAAAATGTCTTCACTAATCAACGCTGGATTTTTTAGTTGTGTGGAAACCAATATACTATAGAGTGAAATCTCTGGCATATCGAACTATTTCGAGCATGTTTTAGCCATAAATGGAAAAAATTCAATTTTCCACAATATATAATTTGATTATTAATTAATTTATTGTATTAATTATTTTTTTCATTTGGTTAGTAACAGGTAATTGAGGTTAAGTAATTAGATTCAGATGAGATTAATTATTTATCTAAAATGCCTATACAATTTTGAAGCGTTTATATACGACGGGATCATGTCATAAGTATCTTTCATAAGATGAAAGTTTTAATAAAATAGGATAACTGTTTAACAATATTGCATTTTCTTTGTGTCTTCTTCTTTTGTCACTCGTTGCTTTGGATACGCATGTGTCAGCGTTTCCAGCCCTCGGAGACATTAAAATAATGTTTTTCTATTTATTTATTTTTCACCAGTACCTTCAAAGTCGCTGGTGAAAATTCGAAATTTCATCTCACAGTTTCGGGGCACTCTGGAAAAATAAGTGATATGATGGCACCTCATAGTGGCCATGATTTCACCACCTACGATGTTGACAACGATTCGAGTAAATCTGGAAATTGTGCAGTCGATTACAGGGGAGCTTGGTGGTACAGCAACTGCATCTACGCACACTTGAATGGAGAGTATGATGTGACCTTTGACTGGCCATTTGGAGGCCATCTTACTTTTAGTGAGATGAAAATTCGCGCTTCTGATTAGAAAAAAAAGGTGAAACTTGTCATTTCAATTACTCGGCAAAATATAAGAACTATTTGACCTAAATATTTTAAATTGAATTATTCTTGTAAAGAAACTTTGACAAAAACCCAATGATTTTAACTGGAAAAGAAACATTATGTTGACATTTGACAATAATTTGTTTCGTTAGCCAACATTGTTTACAAAGTTGTGTAATTTATTACCAGTTTTAATCGATGGATACATCGATCGATTTTACAAGTATGTATGTAGAATCGATTTTACAAGTATGTATGTAGAAATTTATTTTAAAATATAAAAATCTCCTCGTCATGTCAACATTTTTATGGTGTGGAAAATGCCATGTAATAATGTTTTAATCAAAATAATTGAAATTACTTCACATGTAGAAATGAATATATAGATGAAAGCTCCTCGTCATGTCAAAATTGTTATGGTGTGGAAAATGCCATGTAATAATGTTTTAATCAAAATAATTGAAATTACTTCACATGTAGAAATGAATATATAGATGAAAGCACACTAATATAATCCTTGTTACAAAATTTGAAATTGACCGAGAAGAACAGACCAGAGACCAATAAACGACAATGACATTAGCTATCTTTGCGATTTTTGTATTGTCAAAATATAGGTTCAACTATGTCGTGTCGGCAACTCGGAAACCAATGCTCATTTAGAAATGAAAGAATCATAGTATGCAGATTTGCGTGCACGAAATGTACATATATATAGATCGTTGTGCTGAAATGTATTTCAAATTTTTAGTACTCAAAGATGGTTGAAATTGATTGTACGCTTTTCACTTTTTCATTTTCAAATTCTATTTGAGTTTGAATGGTATCGATATTTTATGCAATTTCTGTTAAAGGGTTGTGCGTGTTAACGAATCAACACAATGTGTGACTTTTTGATTAACAGTTGGAAACTAAAATAAAAGCTTGTTAGTGAATACTCTTCGGTTTTATATTTATTGACAGAAGTCTAGGTTAAGCAGTTGTAAAGTTGCTGTGTTGGGTACAAGAGTTTTTAGTGATCCTTAAATTCTGTGCGGTTTGCCACGAGCGATATTCAAGTGCGCTGCATAAATTTGCGAATCGGCAAAAAAGAAGTTGCCTGATTAAATATAGCACAGATTATCTCAATGTTTAATATACAACTTGTGATAACTTGGAAATACAACTCAATGTATGTATCTATTTGTTTATACAACTGCAGTCAAGCGATGATTGCTGTGGCGTTTTAAATCAGACACCAATCATCGCCGGGGTATTGGCGACGAACTGCGGATATGCTTTGTAACAATGGAATCTTGTTTCAATTCTTGGCAGAATAAATAAAGCAGAAGGTGACCGTCCATTTGAACTCACGTACATTTGAACCCCATGTGTATATCCACGGGTTCAATCTATATGCGGGTGCGAAAACCCATGAGTTAGGGTTAGTATGGGTTCAAATATCCGCAAAACAAAAAAATATATGCAAAAAATAGGTGCAACAGTATGCAGGTGCCATTGTCGTGGGTTCAAATGTAATGGAACCGAAGCAGAAAACCCCTTGAGTTACAGGTTATTAGATTCCCGCGAAATGGCTTCCTTCACCATCGAGTTCATACATATGAAACAAATAACTAAATTTTTGTTTCCATACCCGATGTGGATATAAATACCAGTACAATGGATAAATTTGCGTCGCATTGAAGCATTACAATAAAACGAACTAAGATTCAGGAGTATGCTGACAACATTAACCATCAATTTCGAATTCTTGCACCAGCAACCCAGTCTATTCATTATTTTGACAATACAATATTAATCGAGGCGGTATATCATATTTAGCAAAAACTCGCTCATATTGTACATTTAGATCTGGATGAACGGGCCATAACAACAATTCACGACAGAAGCCACGTGATCAATGTATATATAGCAGAAATAGCATGCGTCCAGTTAAATCGAATCGAGGGACTTATATTTACAGAACCCCGAGCAAAGCTCTATCCCTCCGAACAACGGCTATATGCCATCAGGAATAAAACCAAGAGTCCCACCGAAGCAGTCGTACGTAATGACAAACAGAGATACTTAGACGATAACACCTCTTGAAAATTATTTACCAGTAATTAATTAGTCTTACTCATCAATTATACTTAATGTCAATGACTCAAGAAACCAACAAAGACTACAATATGCAATTCAAGAGTCCTGTATGTATTTCTGTAACATTTAGTATGACCGTAGTAAGACTTCCCCAGACAAGCAGCTTACAACAATAACTCTATTTGTGGTAATCGCTCATATACACCTATTTTATCTAGTTTATGCGCTAAAAGATGTTAAGCAAGAGTGGATCCAGTCGAGTTTTAAGTCGTCAGCAATTCGTGGTTGGTACATGCAATTTGTAATGTGCATTGCTGCTAACGTAATCGCAACGGAAGAGGTTGTTGCTGTTGAGTAAACAATAACCCAGTAAATCATTAATTTGACAAGTACTTCACAGCAGAGAACTGTTAATAATATATAGTTCATTATTGGCGTGATCAAAAAACATGAAGTTGTCACCAGAAAGAAATATTATCATAAATTTTTCCAATAGTATCTGCATGAGCAAATTTACTGATCATAGGACTATCAATAGAAGGCACTTCACTATGCACCCACTTAACAAAACTTATACAAAAAGTCATTCAATATTCAGGTTAACATAAAAATTAGATTGAACAGTGAAAGGACATCTTATGGATTTTACCACATCTACATATTTATGGTTATGTAGAAATAAAACAAAAATTAACACATTTTAATTTTGCATATATAATTACATTAGGGCATCAAATAATAAGCATTTGTATTATCTGTCAATATTAAACTATTACCATAAAATAAAAATTATATATTCACAAATTATAAAAATGTTAGCAGTTTAGCACCAAAACCAGTTTTGATAAAGCCGAATGTGGAAATTGGCGGGCAATAAGCACCACACCCATGAAAATGCAAACAAAATCAAGCAATTCCCCCACCTTGACTAAAATTGAAGTAATGACAATTGGCTTGTTACATTTTTTTTTGCAAATTCAGGTTCATTTATTCATCAATTTAAACACCATTATAAGAGCATGGAACTAATGAATTTAGTAAGCAGTGTCAGCACCTTGTTAAATTATTTTTTCATGTTGCTATGGTTGAGTTTGAAAGTTGGATCTGATGCTGGTTCTCTAATCAGCATAACTAAACAGACCATTCGATGGACCCACTGTCCACAAAAAGGGCTGACACTATTCGCCTAGAAAGATGAACTAAATAACTGCTAGCAATGCCTACATATAAGCTGTTGTCTGCCATATGATAAAGCCATAATATTGAGTTCTTATCCCCCTGCATAAATAAGCAAAAAATCCCAAGGCAGTTATAGTCCAGACGAGCACTGCAAATATGGATGTCGAATACGCCCTGCCAGTTAAATGTTCTAGGCAAAGGAATATGCATCTGAAACAAAAAATTCGAGCGCAATAACCCTCTAACCTCACTAAATAGATTTTGGGTTGAATACCACTAAGGGACCCCCAGTAATTAGATTGGCTTCATAATATATGAGGATCATTTAGATATACAGCAAATTGATAACATATATCACAAAAATCCCTGAATAAAAAACATGATTCAATCACAAACGATCGTAAATTCAATTGGAAAGAAGGTATTTTTAAACCAAAAATATATTTTGACGTTAATGTTGAATTGCATTAAAAAAATTATTAGGGTGTCCATACATGACATCCTATCATAATCACTGGCGGAAAACCTCACAGCATCGGATTTGAAAACAGTTGTATGAGTCCACTGTCTGGAGCAGATGTCATTATTAATTTTTGAGCTTCTCTGAATTTTGGATGCTTTGCATCTCCAAGTATTTGTAACAAAACAGTTTCAGATGTAGTAATATACGCCCCCATTTGCCGCATTGTGGAAAGGGCAAAGAGCCTATCAGTTTGACTTCTTGATGAAACTGCATCTGCAACAACATGTACTTCATAATCTTTTTCTAACAAATCTGTCGTTGTACGAAGTATGCACGCCTGCGTTTCAATGCCACATAGAATTATCGATTTCACATCTGGTAGTTTCTCGAGTTCTTGTTGAATACTGGGAACCATGGAGAAACATGTTTTTTCGAACTTCTTTGCGTAGGTAAGATCTCCGAGATCCTTTACTGTTGGGCCTAAACCTTTTGGATATTGCTCCGTTACGAATGTTGGAATATTCATAATTTTTGCCAAGTCAAACATTCTTTTAGAAACGCTTATTATTTCTGGATAATAAACAATATTTCCAGCAAACTTCTCTTGCATGTCACAGAGCAAAAGGGAGGTAGTACGTTCACATAACCTTCCAAGTCGTTTTGCAGCCATTCTGGAATAGTAACGAGCTGAAGTTTTTGACTAATTAAAAGGATAGTCTAATTTTTATAATTTAAAATAAGAAAGAAGTAAACTGATGTGGTTGATTAACAGTGATGGCATTTTTGTTGATTGTCTATGCTAGCATAGCATGAAATCTAAAACTTAGAATGTGCATCACTGGTTCTCAAGCTTACTGGTACTAAATCTGGATTAGTGATGGGGTCTAGTAACCCCCACCTGACTATGCCATCCAAAAATGACGTCACTACGACGCCACACTCATGTTATATAGCTTGCCAAAGTATAGCTGCGTTCACCCGAAATGGCATTTGCGCTGCCGATAACGAACATCGGCAATCTCTCTAACATCGTTCGTTGCGACAAGAAAACGAAAAAAGTAACTTGCTCAATTTCGGATAATTGTCTGTGTGTTTGGGACGACTGTCCGTATACTTTGTGGAGGATTTTATTACAAAACTGTGATGTCGTAATGACATGATTTTTTGGTGACATATTTAGGTGGGGATTAGGAATGACACATGCAAAAAGTGTTGAGCAAGACCAACTAGAAGTACTTGACAGAAAAAAAGGTTGAGAACCCCTGGTCTAAAGGTTTTGCGGGTCTAGTAGACTAGATAGTTTAGTACCACAAGTCGTTCCGGTGGGCGTAACATAACGAATTTTGCATATGCTATTCCTAACCCCCACCTGACTATGCCATCCAAAAATTACGTCACTCAGACGTCACCATCACGTCATAGGGATTACCAGAGTATAATTACGATCGCCCGAAATGACATCTGCGCCGCCGATAACGAACTTGCTAAAGCCGGCGATCCCTCTCCCATAGTGATCGTTGTGACGAGAAAACGAGAGAAATTGCTTGCTCGATTTCGGGTGATCGTCTGCGCGTTTTGGACGACCATCCGCATACTTCGGTGGACCTTATTACGCCACTGTGACGTCGAAATGACGTAATTTTTCGGTGACGTGGTCAGGTGGGGGTTAGGATTGACATATGCAAAAATTGTTGAGCCAGGTCAACTAGAAGTACATATGGTACTAAACTATAGGTACCATACAGCCATAGGATAGGATATACATATTTATATATAGGATATATAACAGACCCGGTTTTGCTCGCCCTCCAGAATTTTCCATTTTAAATTTGTGTATATTATGGAGTAGGTACGGTACCGTACCGGTACCGGTATTCAAATAAACTACCGTAGCCTACCGTACGGTAACGAAATGCAAAAAGCCACGCTACCGTAGCAGAAGTCGTAAATCGGTAAATGTTTTACGCTTTCTGGCTTATCGTTTCTGTGTTTACAGGTTTAAATCGAATTGTACCGGTACTGCATTTAAATATAAGCATGCCACATAATCATGCTACACATTGGTATGAAACTGGTACCGGTACAACAGATGGCAGAAGGAAGGCGGACATCACGCACACACCGGAGTTAAGCGCGTCGCTGTCCTTTTGATTGCCACTAGGGATGTAATTTTCAGAATTTCGAATCAACATCAATTCGTATCGATTCGAAGCAATTTGAGAAAAAACGGATTGATTCTATTTAAAAAATATTAATTAAGATTTAGATAACACAAGGCGATCGCACGACACAGCAGCGTTGTCTCATCATCGACCAAAAACGCGGTCTTACTACCGTGTTTCCCCGAAAATATGACTGGGTCTTATTTTTTCAATTTTCTTCCGAAAAAAAAAACACTGGGGCTTATTTTCGGGGGATGTCTTATATTTTCATTTATCAAAAACAAAATCACAGAGTAATCAAAGAGCGCAAAACAGAGGGAAACAGCGCGAAATAGAGGAAAACAGCGCGAAAGAGAGGAAAACGGCGCAAAACAGAGGAAAACGGCGCAAAACAAAGTAACAAGGGAAACGAGACTTGATAGTTATATATTTATTTTCGGAAACATGGTCTTGATGGCGGAGGAAACCGTAACCAACCTATCAGGGTTACGTGAACCACCCTACGGCGGCGAGGAGTCCAGCAATCCTTTCGCACTATACCCGCATGGGGTTCGAACTAGAGATGTACCGATGTATCGGTATCGATAATATTGGCCATTTTTTGGTATCGGCCATCTATCGGTATCGGTTAGATTAAGACCGATATTTCCGATATATTTACCTTTTTGATATGGTCCAGAATGTTGAAAAGATAAGTTGGAATACTACTTTTTAATTTTTTTTTGTCTGGAGAGATCGTGAGCTATGTATGAGCCATACATGCCCCCACTACCGCGAGAGAATAGGATTCGCGTGTTTTTAGCTATTTATGAGCCAAACTAGCTCAACTAATTTGGCTATTTTCGCTGTAAATTTTTATTTTGACATTTTTAATATTACATAGTAATTATGAAGAAATATATCAACACAGCACATAACAAAAAGCAACTAGGCGCCCAGTTTTAAATCATACAGTGGAATTGGGGTCCTTATTAACGGCACATGGACTTTTGGCGCGGGTATAAATTCTGACTGTTTGTCGTCAAGTACGAGAGTCATTTAGTCCGTCGACATCGATAAACTAAATTCCGACACAATTATCCCTCTACGCAGGTATTAATTTTAATTTTGTTTAACTACACAATTTCTTCATAGATATATATATTGACATGACCGCCTAGCCCTAGACTGTCTCAAAATATATGATAGCAATTGTAAAATAGTATAAAATAGTAAAGTAAAAAAACATCCTCGACGGTTATAGGTAGGCCTTCTTTTTGTCGGTGCTGATTGATATTCTTTCATGTTGGCTTTGACTTTTTGCGTCGACGATTACGATTAGCCACGAAATAAAATATTTGAAAAATGCTTTTAATTTAAACGTAGGACGGCGGCGCTAGAATGTGTGGCTGCTATTCGATATTCTTTTAAACACGAATAACGATATTTGAAGGTCGCGACATTAACATTAAATTCAAATTGGACATCCCAGCTTATGAGTTTTCTAATCGAACAACGAGATTACTAGCGTTACTGTACAATGTATCTTAATCAGTTAAAGCAAACACCAAACATTAATTTCATATTATGTGATATATCTTTTTTTTCGATCTGAAATAATGTGTACTATATATGAACAACGCTCAAAGACCATTGTTTTAACCCGTCTGCCCTACACAGCACACCTAATTAAGTAATAATTACAAAGCATCGGTAACATCGACCTTTTTGTAGTATCGGCGTATCGGTATCGGCGTTTTTAGCTGGTATCGGTATCGGCGACAAAAGTGGTATCGGTACATCTCTAATTCGAACCTGTGAACCCACACAGAGTAATCAGATGTGCGGTGGCGAGTGTATTCCTAACGCTTAGCACGATGATCCACACCGTCTTTTTGTTTGTTTACAATGTTTTATGAATGGCGAAATGAAATATCTGAATCTGAAAACGATAAATAATCAAGGACTTACTTTTTATAATAAAAAAGTAATGTATATCGCACCGTCTACAAAAGTATGAACCTACATTGTACGAGTAATTCGTGTCTGTTTATCAGAAAAGCATATAGATACTTGAATGTCAAAAAATGCTATTTTAAGACTGTAAAAAGAACATTAAATTTCAAATATTTTGCAATATACCCCCGAATACAATGGCTCACTCTTTTTATGTATGCACGATACAAAACAACCAATTTCGCCTTTTTTGATCACCCTCAAACGGGTAAAGCATAATGGTACAAGAAAAATTAGTAGTATATATCACATTTCTACCACAGTCGATTTCCGATTATCTTGTTTTATGCGTTATAATATATCGTTATTCTTCATCGCATGACTGTGCAAAATATACGAAACGCTGGAGAATGTCCTCATTTATGCCTGGTTTTCGACAATTTTGCGCGGTTTTTAGAACATACTGATTAAAGTGTATATCCAAGAATATTTTTTATAATTCCACACGATAAACATATTACGATCCACGCCGGTATCACGATAATAAATAAAACTGTATATTGTATTTGCAGCGGCTTAGGATGATGAGGCATTTTATTTTTATATCGCGGCGTATTTGATAAGAACCTTAAAGTAAAATTATATATTAGTCACTCTCAAAAGTCTTGACTTTATGCATCCAGCAAACACAACATTTTTCTTTCATTATTTATTAGCGTCGGTGAAATTTTAACAGTATACGAAATGATCACGAGTTTACATCAGTAATCTTCAACAACCTAGAATAACGCAATATGTGCACACTACTAAGCAAAATCGAAGATATCTTTGTGAAGAGAAACTTTATCAAAATATACTAAATAGTATATCGTCACAATACATAATAAATTTGACAATGAAATTGTGAATAAGTAAATCATTCATCAAACGAAACTTTTAAACGCAAATAGTTTATAACTTGTTAATTTTTTTTCTACATTTCGATAATTTAATTATAACTTCTGATCGGGGTCTACGCTTCTGGCCCGGTTTCTGTGCAATTCCTCGGACAGTAGCTGACAGTAGCAGTTGACAGCATTTTGAAAGTGTCTTATCAAATCTGGCAATTTATGTGGTTTCCACTGCAAATTTAACTTCATAATATTGTTGATACTTTCACAATTATTGTTAGTCAACAGTTTTCTAAATGTTTTATTCTAAACGGCTTGATTACAAACTCTTTGAGTGCTGGTAAAAAGTTCTCTGATAAATATTTCTGCAGATCTTGATGATCAGCAATCTCATTGTTTATAATCTTCACTTTATTGTTTTATGTTTTTAACGAATCAGCAAAGACGACGGCGTTTTCGGAAAAAAACAAGTCGTACATCTCGAATCTTTGTTTTAAGGACATAATTGTTTTTTCTCGAAGACGGTGCAGCGTAAGTTTTCCTTTAGATGTTTTGTACATAGAAATCTATTAGCAAGGGGAAAGCAGTGATCTATTGCTTTCGTTAAATCTTTTTCATTGTCGCTTCCAATATTTATACGAATTTCAAAAGTAAACTGCGAGTTAGACAATCTAGCACCCGAATGCGAAAAAAACGGCAGTAAGTTTCAAAGCTTGCATCCCAATGTGGATAAAGTACATAAACAAATCCAAAATAAATTGGGGTATCGTCCGTGTCATTTTTTATTACCTTGTAGTGTTTAAATACAATAGTAGTGGCATAGCAAGATGCTATGTTGAATGTTCGATCTACTTCTAAAATCGTTTGGTCAGATGACTGAATAGATATAGATTGCAAATCCGCCAATTGATATCCTGTATACAAAATTATACTTGGCGGTTTTTAAGGGGTCAGTATAATTTCTTTCACATAAGGATTTGTGTTTATCATATTTAGAACACCCAGAACTTCATCGGCAATATTATATTTTGTACTCTTAGAGTTCACTCCTTTGTTGATTTTCATTTTTCTGTTTTGAACTTGTTTAAAGTCGCGTGGCGAAGATGTCGAATCATTTAACACCATTTCTCGGTAAATTTTTCTGGTTGGTTCGTTGCAACGTAACCTTTCGTCGATTGTTTCTGCGACATGTTTCGGCGTGCGAACATACTCTCTACCAGGAATATTCGCGTAGTGAGACGGTGTTGATGGTTGCGATCCCATATACTCTACCACTGTTTTTGACGCACCCACTTTCGTACCTTGAATGGTGTCAAACCAAGATACTCGTCTTTTGAATTCTGGGTATCTTCTCAAGCATGAATAATATATGTAAATAACCAATAAATCATCGTCAGCCAGTTGTATGGTCTCCTGATTTTATTTTTACCCCTTTCCACACGCTGTTTAAGGTACATCCCCATTTTTTGCCTGATATGACAAAATTTTACGTTTTTATGTAATATATGGATTTGATTGAGCCTGACTTTTTGCTATCCCAGACTCCGCAGTTATCAACAACAAAATTCCTCGTGTTGGATATTCCTCTCGAATTGCTTACAAAGAAAGCCTAATTGCTCTTACCACCCAGAGGTGTACACCCGGACAACATTCTGCTCTGATCTGTAACTCGAAAATACAATTGCTCGGGAGTAAAGAATCGGCCCATTGCCGGTTCTCCCGTAGCAATCTCCAAATTATCTTCGATAGATTTAACATGTACAACATTTGATTTCCCATTTTTATAAAGTTTTCGCTTCATTTTTTGTGGATGAAGATCAGTGTCATCCTGAGATTCTGACGTAGTTTCATCGCTCATTTCAATTTCATTCTGCATGAAATCGTGTTTTCATTTTCTCTCTTTATTGTTAAAATCTATGTCGCCTTGAAAATCTAAAGAATTTTTTTTTGACTGCCTCAGTTGTATTTCGCCCCATATTTAAACTATGTATTTCGTTCCAATACTGATACAGTTGTCACTAATTTCCTTAATTACATAAAAATATGTTCGAACATTCATGTCAAAAACATTATGAGCTCCAAAGGCAGATGATACTTGAATTGTTTCGCCTTTGTAATCATAATGTACTGTGTGGCTACAGAGGCTGATTAACGACGTGAAATGCCTTTTATGTGACAGTCCACTGACTGTACTCTACATCAATATCAAGATGAGACAATTCGCATAGTTTGTTATCGAATACACTTTTTATGATATCTTGTATTGGGTAGCAGGATTTCGCTAGAGTTTATCTCATATGACGGAGTCGATTAGCTCACTGCGCGTGATTTAATTTTGAAACGATGTCGGCGGTCAAACAACATTTGTTTGAGATGTCATGCTTGAACAGTAACGGTCGATTAAGCTCCAGTTCAGTCGAATTTTAGCTTGCATACCTGACGCATACTTGTTTATTGATGCAATAAGGTCCGCTCTTGAGTGAAATCAATTTCGAATTTCAATATATATTCGATTATGGATTAAAATTTCACTCAATATCGGAGATCTAGATTTTGCCAATATTTTACCAATGACAGGAACTCTCCTCAGCCGATTTTGAGAAAATTAGCATGCAAGTAATATTTCAGGCTTCTTTTTAGCTTACCATTGTCATAATCGATTGTTATTTTACATGATACTAGTTTATGACTGAATAGTCAGTCTGTACGCATAGTATTACAAAATGAAGGTGCTTATGGCTGGTTTATTTAAAACTGGTACTAAAAGTATGGATGAAGCTATGAGAATTTTAGGTTATAGACCAGCAGAACATGGTGTGTACTTTGGTGAGTTATACGAAGACTGGAATAAGTTTTATAACGGGAAGGGAACTTCAGATGATATACGGAGAATGTTCAAAAACTATGACACCGCAAGTGATTTCATGGCTGCTCTACACTGGAAGGAATTTTTGAAAGGCTTCCCTGATATCAAAGTAAGCGGATAAGTAAGTCATGAAATGAGTTTTCTTGAAAACAACCTTGTGGTGTGAAAATTAAGATGAATTTGTCGTTCGCCTCTGACTAATGATTTTGAAAATATACATTCGAGCGCGCGGTCTTTGCGTATTAAAGTATTTTTTGTTCACAGTATTACATTCGAACGAATGTTATTATATATTTCTAAACAAAGCGTTACGGTGTGAAGTTGTAAACAAGTAAAATTGGGACTGTATTACTATGCAATCTTCCAATATTGTTCTATGTTATTTGGATAATGTTTCTCTTTCTATCTTGTTATCAAAGTAACCTATTCATCAGCGCTTAATTATTCCTCAAATGGAGTAAACTTCATGTCAATCAGGATTTTCTTGTGCCATTGTCATAATTAGTCACAGCTTTGTTAAGTATTTTGCATCTTTGCTTAAGAAAACTTTAGCTCACGACTATATCTGATTAGTTGGCTCGGACTACGTCACTTGTTCATTTAGACTCTTGTCCTTTATAAGTAAAGTAAAATTTGAATTTTATATATACAGTTCTCAGTGGAAAACTAATAAAGCGGTCGTTATACTCCAGGCTTAAACTAATTTCCCGTTTGTGACTCTGCGATCTATGTTTTATCGTTTATGAAACTGGCTTGAAGGTGTAAATTGACTGAGATTCTTCTTTTTTGGTCTTCATTAATTGCATTCTATTTGGTCAGATGTAGAAAAATAAATATAATTTTTACCTTCAGATTATTTTGATGCAACGTGATATTGAAAGTTGGTTGGTATCGTATAAAGCACAGGTGAAAAAATTCAACGAATCCGCTCTTTCATTCCCACTTTCTGTGTTTTCTCCTACGGCTAGAAGGTGGTTTGATTTTACGGGAAAATTCATTAAGTACAGTATCATGTAACTTAGAACAAAACATTGCTTCCAGTACCACCGGATTTATGCATTTTTTAAAATTTATTGGCCCAGTAAATTGTTAAATGAACCCATATTACCCTCAGTTAGGCTGGCAATTCTATGATAATACGGACCAAATTGTCCCATCCCCATAGCATCTAAATTCAGTTACAGGAAACTAAATTGGTATGATCTTTATATTTACAGTTATATCTTGTATTGTTTGAAGAAGTTAGACCATGATCTAACGGAAGCACACAAATAAACTTACTAAATTATTATGCAATTCCTTGTGAGCGGTCGCCGCGAAATAGCCGGCTATAATGACTTTTCTTGTAGCGTAATGTTCAATCCATAACAACTACGGGAATTCCAACTGTCTTTCAATTTCAATCTAATTCAATCAACTAATTTTAATCCTTTTATTTGGAGATAAATGCAAATAACCGAAACGAACGTTATTGGAAGTTTTCAACATTGAAAAAAATCAATATTTAGCAGCAGATCTCTATTTGTGAAATAGATTTATTCGATACAACATTTTTTTTAAATATTTTTTAGAATCGTGAATCATCGCGGTGCAGTATTGATAATTTTAGTCTTTACTCTACCCGTCTAGTGTCGAAGCCATTGTCTTGTTAGATGAGAATTGGTTTGTGCGCATATCTTTTAAATATCTGATTTACTCTGCTAACTTATGATGAATATTCAGCGTGACATCCATTACAACATCCATTGCTCAATACTTGTTTGAATACTAATTGCTATGATAAAACTATTTAGTGAGAAGGCTTTGGAACGAAAAGGAAAACACTGCCTTTTATTTTCGAAAAACTCTGCCACTGCTAGACGATGACCGCGCAAGAAAACTTTACAAAGATCATACTGCTGATGTAATCAAGGTTAGTGTAAAGCAGGGACGGGCAAGGTATTTTGCCCAAACAGTCTGGCGTGCCATGTAAATGCGACGTAAAAACTTAAAACATTTTATAACAAATATTTACAGTGTTACAAACCAGAGGTGAAAAACAATATGCCTCGTGCGAAAACTAAATTTAAGCGCAATCTCAACAAATTTCTTGAGCTATTTTTAGCTAAAACATCAAAATTTGGTTTCAGTTTGGTTGAGGCAGCATCAGGCCGGACCTATTAAATTACCCAACGAGCTGGATTTGCCCATGTCTAGTGTAAAGCCTAAAACCTATTTTCTGATCGAATTAAACTAAGCTTAACGCACATCAAATTAAAATAGCGTAATCATTTTGCGCCCTAGTCTAGACAATACTAGTATAATGATCACCAACAACCCTGAGAACATGGAAAAAACGTTGAGTATATATTGTGTTAAAATATCGACTTGCAATTCTGAGGCACATTTAAAACTTTCGACAAAATCTTGGGTTTCAGGAAGCGCCACCAGGGCAACTGCTGGTTTACAACGTCAATGAAGGATGGGGACCCATTTGTAAATTTTTGGGACGTGAAGTTCCAGATATACCCTTTCCCCATTTAAATAAAAAAGGAGAAATCGCTGAAAAAAGGTTGAAAAATGATTCGTACATTAAAAATATGTATATCGAAATGTATACTGTTCTCGCTTTAATTTTCTTGTTTTTCTCTTTGTTTGTCGCAATTGTATTAAAACTTTATCATGAATTTATTTGATATTCCTAATTATTGTTTTTCACATTCATTTTCGTTTGCTATTTAATCATCATCTATGCCAGGGGTCGGGAACCTTTTTGGTCAAGAGAGCCCTAAAATATACATATTTTCAATTGCATTTCCGTGCGAGCCATATAACATTTCTTCACTTAATCAGGCCTGAAACGTTTACTCAAAAGTCAACAGATTCCATGTTAATATACATTTAATGTGACTTCTGATGCTGCATGTTGTCGCTGCGGGCCTTGAACGGTTGCTCACATGCAGCCCAAGTTGAAATCTACGATACTCATCACTCTTTTTCGTTTAGGCATCTCCGTAGTATTTTAAAACTCTATCGCTTTGTGATGTCACAATATATGTTCCAGAATCCCCATGTTTTGTCACAATGCCTGTCTGGTAATTCTCTTACATAACATAGACATGCGCTGGGCCCGCGTTGTCAAACGTATTGGGAATTTTTTGCCAAATTTGGCCATAAAATAGTTTGAAGTCTAGTAACAATAGTAAGCTTAATCTTAGAATAATAGATTTTTCTGGGAGCCATATGCCGTCACCAAAAGAGCCATATATGGCTCGCGAGCCATGGGTTCCCGACCCCTGATCTATGCCTTTGTTTTTGAAACACACATGTGTGATCTTATGAGATTTTGCACATTCTTTGTAAGAATATGTGACTGTATATATATACAATCTGATTTCATTCCAAGAGCAATTACCTCATGCGTCATCGTTTCTCAACCAGTAGTTTGCAACCCCAAGAAAGCAGTGTAGATCGTTTTGAGGGTCGATGTTCTGCCTAAGCCGAGATATTTTCCCGAAAAAGAACATCTGAAAAATAACGGTTTCAATCTCTGGCAGCATGATTACATTTTTTTTTGTCAATATATTAGCCTGAAATTAAAAGCTTTCGGTAGGTTAATTGAGATATCGAGAAATACTGCTAAAATATTAATATTTTGTCACTCTGTTGTTTGATTAAATTCTTTATTCTTATATATATATATATATTGCGTATGTTTATTTCAGCTCTTCATCAAAATACATGAATGATCGCTTGTCATATTTCGCTGGCAAAATTTCATCCTTGAATACAAGCAATTTTTAAAGGAGCGTTTTTTTTCTTCTTTTTTTCAATCTCAACCTTGACAATTTAACTATCGACTGCTGGATAATATCATGTTACAAGACTTTTTGAAGTTGACTTTAAAACTGTCACTTGTTATCAATCTTCTGGAACATTTTCAATTGCACTAGTAATTCATATCTTAATACGCGCGTTTGCAAATACGTACAAGTAATACATCTGTAGCAGCAAACATACGAAGTTGCGAGAGATGCAAATGCCGCGTGTGATGAACCCATAACTGCATTGCGCTAATATGCATGTACCATGATGTCAAATTCGTCTTTCTTCATTATGATTTTCGAACACCGTCGTGCGTTATAGTCAATAGAGACCACACATTTTTTGAAAACGAATAGCCTTCTTAGAAGCACAGAGTTTTGTAATAGCCATTGGTCTTTTTTAAGTGAACACAGTTACGGTAGAAAAGGCATAGCCTTACGAGAAGGAATATAAACTTCTTATAGAAATAAGAAAATATATATAGTATAAACATATGCGAATCATCTTGCTAGTGTCATTATTGCATTAATATTTCTCCAACCTTGACAACCAAAAAAATTCTTCCTATACATTACCTCCGAAATTTTTCAATGACCATTTTGAAACTGTCCAACTGTCCACCAAGACAATCCATTCTCCTTGTACCGATCACTAGGGCTGGGAATGGTTAAGCGATTTTAGATGGTTAACGGTTACGATTTATTTTAACCTTGAACTGACATCTTAGGTACAAATCATCTTTATAATGTACAATTTCTTTAAAAATGATTACATCATCGCAAATTCATTTCCTGTGGCGTTTAATTCAAATGAATATCACTGACTGTATTGGTAAGGACCAAAGAAATAAAAAAATTATTTGGAAGTACCAAGATTGCTGATTATGAAAATTTGATAATTATAAATTCAGAATCAGTTTTCGGTAAAAACATGGTGTTCACAATTTTATTGCAAAATCGTCTTTTCAAGGTGCGCAGTTGATGCTGTATTTCTTTATGATATCTCAAAGTAGAATTTGCACATCGAGCACTGAAAATTTTTCACATAAAGAACATTTAATAACGGAATCGGGTTTTACTAAATACTTTCATATCTTCGAAATACGCTGCGTATCTCTTGCAGCAGAGCAATAACGAAACTATTACGATTCGTGAATAATTCTGAGAGATTCCGGGATAAGATCACGAGAAATTGCTTCGTAACAATTGTGACCCTGAAATTTTCCCTTAAATTCCCAGCACAGGACGTCATTCCCATATTGACACAGCAGCTTGACGTTTTTTGATACAACATTGAAATTCCGTGATTTTAACAAACATGAATCCCGACATCGAGATTATGAAAAGGGGTATTCCCAGTTGGAATAGTTTGAAAATAACTCAAAAACGATCTTCCAATGAAAACAAATATTTGCCAATGATTTAGTGCACACTAAAATTGTTATGCGGTTTGGACCACTCTGTGTTACATAATTAACATATTGTTTCACGTGCGGTACGGAAATCTTTGGATTAAAACGGTAAGCTGTGAGGTAATGATATCATAAATTTCAGAAGATATAGGGAGTGAACTCTCACTCATCCTAGTTTTGAGGTGTGGCATGTGGCATCACAGTTTACTTCTAGACTCGAATATAATTTTATTTGACCATACAGAAAGTGGCGCATATACCAATGCAGATGGTCAGTCAAATAAACAACACATCTTTACAAGTTACAAATAGTTTTATCACTAATACCAAAATATCTACATCTAAATTTCTAGAATACTGTAGAAGTTACCATTCCTTACTGTACATTTCCGATTACATTGTTGATATAGTCCATCTATAACAGTGGTTCTCAACCTGTGGTACGCGGGAGCTTTTCAAGTGGTACGCGAGCAGATTTGGATTATTGCAACAATTAACTTTTGAGTTGGCTAAAATATGATGAAAATGTTTTCTGTTATCTTCGTGAATGTTTTCGCTGAACGGGTTTATAGCGTTAGCAGTCCTTCGCCCGCTACTGCCCGCCTAAACGGAAACCAGACGTGCATGTTTTTGCCCGTTTCGGCAACGAACGGAACGTTCGAGATATCCTGATAGTGTCTTGCGTTAATTGTTACAATACATCATACGGATGTTGCTACTGCTACCTGATGTATGTGATGGATGATCTTCATCTACTCAAGTTTTGAGGCAGATCAATTTGGATACTAGGTTGGGCAGTTCGTTATAGCGACTATCGCCGACCGAAGTGTATTCGTAAGCGTTTTGCAATAATTCAGTGGTGGCGATGATTAAAGCCTTTCAGCTCCGACGGTAGACAACACAAATTCTCTCGCGATTTTGCACGCAATTAATACGTTTCTACTGCATATAATCAATATGTGAAACTTTGCAGGAAGGTCTAAATATGGATGTAGTGCCACATGGAAATAATATCATAGCGCGTTTCTTGTGCCATTGTTCCCCGCCACAAAGGGGGGGTTTGAACGTCGGTGGTACTCGGCCAGAGTAAAAATTACAAAAGTGGTACGTGGTCACGAAAAAGGTTGAGAATCAGTGATATATATTCAAGCAACTTTGCACTTATATTGTTCTTTCGAACTACGCCACGGAATTCGTAATATATATGAAAATTGTGTTACTCAACACTATGGGTATTGTGACTACCGTGCTCTATTTTGCATTTAGCTTACACTTCTTTATATCATCTAACTAAAATATATATATTGGTTAAAACAGCCTCAAGCAATTTAGTATCTCTCTAATGGATATGGCATATTTTCACAGATTTCTTCTGCGCTGCAAAACACTAAATAAATAAGTTGAAGATATTGTTTGTATTGTGAATGAGTGGAATACATGCATACGAATGAACTTGAAAACAACTTGCAAAAGCATATTTTGGTAACATGTCCAGTTGTGTCCATTTGTCTACTGTATATTGAATATTCAAACTTTCGATTCGTCGCTGTCCTTTTTTCAATTTTAACATCCATGTAATATTGTTCTCCTATTGGTACCGAAAAAGGGAGAATTACGCTATCTTACGATGATTCATGAAGTATTTAAACTTCCCATTCGTTCACCGTCTATATATGAGAGTATATAGGAATGAACTACCTAAAAGTACCTTTGTTCGACCAATTCAGCTCATAGACGAATGGAATCAGTCATGTGATGACATTCTGTTTGGTCTTGGCAGTATTTGAGAATTTCATAGATGTAATACTTCACGTCGTTGGAAATTGGTCACTTGATTTACATAAATAAACATAAAAATTACGCTAGAGTGTTTTCATATGAGTATGAAAGATATGATCTTAATCAGAGTTTTCACTTCGTTAGTGGAATCCATGCTATAAATATATTTAATATTTTGAGATCCTAACGTTGACAAATTTATCATATATTTTATATGCAGTATAGCAAAATAATAATATCTGTATTGGGAATTTAAAACTGATTCTCACTGCCTTTAGTCATGTGGCAAGGACCACCGGAGGAAGACAATATCTATGAAGGTGAAATTCGATACGAAAATAACCAAGGTAATTGATGCAATTTTTTTAGTTTTTGTCGATAAAATATCTCAAAATATAAGATGTCATCATATCTCCAAGATAAATTAAAACCAAGCCACTCGCCCCGACGTCCCTTATTGTAATGTTAGTCCTGTCCATTTATTTATTGGTATATATATTTTTTATTGGGTCCAAGTCACCATCGGAAATGTGCCAAGACCTCCCCTCAGAGGCCCCCCAGGAGGACAAATACAAAGAGAGGGCGAATGCAGTAATAATCCACAGCAGCAAAACAAATCTGCTTCGTCGAATCGAGACGAACAACATGAGGCAACTATTTTAAAATTTGGGATTGTTGTTGTCGTCTTGTCTGTCCTTATTATCCTGCTGTTGGTAGGACTGTTCATACAAATTGTTCAACATCAAGGGAAGGTATTTTCATGTTTTTGTGAATTTTAAACGCATATGCATAACCATATATGGTTAAAATTTGATTTGCTGCATTTTAGATTAATATATTTATTATTATTTCCATCTCCATTTCACCCCCTCTGAGGCACCGACCAATTCAACGCTTTCCTTTTCGTCTAGCTCATTGGGACAGTTATATTATTATAAAATAATAAGACCCGTGATCTGAATCTGTTTTGCAGAAAATATGATATTAACAAATATGTTCAAGATTAAAATGACTTTAATTTGAAATAAATATAGATCTTGTTGAATGCTGAATATCAGAAAATTTGCCTCATTCTCAGATATTTCATTGTCTTTCCCCCGGAATGAATTTTTTTGTACCTGTTGACGATAATTTATGAAAGAACATTTGACTTTAACTTAATGATTATTCGTGATATTACATAAAAAAAGGGCGAGGTATGGCAGTTGTTGACTGTCAGCTTTGGTACTTTGTAATTACAAAGCTAACTTCAAATAATTTACGGAGTGTGAAAGTAGTATCTTATAGTGACGGTATTACTGCATATATAAATCGTGCAATACTAACACTCTATATGCCCAATCGTTCATGGTTGATTGCCGAACATTTGCTAGCGTGTTCAATTAGGATTTTTTCTTCTTATAAGCATGACGTAATAAACCTCTGGAACTTTCTATATTTCCCTTTACTTTTTCGGTTTAATATTAACGTCCTAGTTCTAGTTATGCAACCTTGCAGTTACATTGTTTCCTGAATTATTCATAATAGGAAAATTGTGTTACTCAATAACGTGATATCCCACGATGCTCTATGTTAGAATCTCACCTCGCTTATTCATATTATCTCAAATTTTATCGTTTAAACGTGCTGCATAAGGCGATATTCCCGCACAAGGCAAACCAGAAATTAACCCTAATAAATTCTCTAAGAGATTGAGTTTAAAATTTTTGTTTTAGAGTGGGCTATAGTATATGTAAATAAAATTCGAAACAACTTGCAAAATTATTAATGTCTTTGTGTTTTTCCAAAGATCTGCGTGTTTGCTAAGTTTTTTTAAAACTCATATAATCACCACAAAATTTACAATCTAACATATATTCAAACTTGCTGGTTGCCTGGCTGATTTTGTTTGCTTTGTACCTTATTTCGAAAAACATTTATTCTTGCTTTGAATAATAGTTTTCAAAGATTTTGCATCAGAACTGAAGATTCGGCTTAATATTAATAGCCTACTTGAGATAACAAATAAAACAAACTTTATGAATTACCGACTAGCAAATCGCTTCTATATATAGCTTTTAAATATCAGAAAATTTGATAACATGACATTTTTATTTGAAAATTTGCAGCATTTTGTTGGTGGAATTCTGAAAATATAAATTCTCAAGATTTGCTGAATACGCATGTATATATATGAATTATGTGAGATGGCCTATAAGTGGGTTCTCTTACTTATATATCGATTAATAAATCGAATCTATATACCACTCGGGGGAAAGATATTTACTATATAAATGACCAGTATCAGTAATTATCTATGAAGCTGGTATGACGTAGAATAATTATCAGTTTGTTTGATTGGCAAATCTCAGAAAATTAGAAACTTGGGCAATTGCGTTTATATTTCTATTGGGAATGATGTCAGAGATCCCCAGAACTTTCCATTCTTTGTTGTGAACTTTCGATATTATTCATGTTCTATATATATCTAGTTATGCAGACTTGCACTTGTTTTGTTTTCTGAAATATCAGTATTGAGAATGGAAAAACGATATTACTCAATACTGTGATATACCACCGTGCTTGAATGCTGAATTTTGATCTTACATTTTTATATATGATAAAATATAATGGTCGAAATGGACTATATTGAATGATTCAGCTTAGCTCATTCACATGCGAAAGAAGGAAGTTGACTATAACCCACGATCAATAGAGTGCGGTATGTGCGAATGAAACTGGAAACAACTAGCAAAACGATTAATGCCTTTGGTTCACTCAGATATCAGCGTCATTTCGTATTTCTCTTGAAACTCATATTATTATCAAAAAATTCACGATCTAGCATCCTATATCTTAGTTTTAAATTTATCGATATGCGAAAATTTTAATATTTGATATAAATAAAACTGCTTTGCAAGTAATTATACGGACACTGCTGTTATTAATATGCAAGAACTGTCTGAATATTCTTTAGCCTAATGTTTGTTTAAACATGTTTAGACTACAACAGGCGGGAGTGGAAATTCAGATCAACAATGTCACACAAACACATCTGTATCCAACGGTTTCACTGTTTCTTCCTTGGAGAAAACGCTGAATCAACTTGTAGCCGACAGAAAAAGCGGTCCGGTGAAATCCTGCCACGAATTGAAGAAGTTGGGTTTCAAGGCCGATGGTGTTTATTACATACAAACTGATAAGGATTATCCTAAAACCGAGGTGAATCTACTCATACATCTTACCATAGGCTAACTAGACATACAACGTAAAATACGTGAATAGATTATAGAATGCGATGTGATTTAGCGGATTTTGAAAAACAAAAACTCGTATTCTTTTCTATACAAGAGAGCAATGCCCAAATCTGTGGACACGAAAGCCAAAACGAAGTAGTACGGGTAGATGGGTATCTAATATTTAAAGTAGCCTAACGTAGTCTTCCCGACTTCGTTTGACCACCAGATCGCAACTATAGCGAACGCGGAACCACTACAAAGTGCGCAGTTTTTTTTATTTTGGTGACGTCATCACGTCATATAGCGACAACAACAATCTTCAACTACTGAAATTTTCAAAGCAATTTTTATAGTATTAAAAAGCATAGCGATTTTTTCATAACAAAACAATTCTAACAACAACAACAATGTAATGTTGGAACGATTCATAGGTGTATTTCGTGTCCAATAAAATACACTTGAATATACCTAATTCTGATCCATTGATTAAAGGTTTACTGTGACATGACGTCTGATGGCGGTGGATGGACTTTAGTAGCAAGCGTGCATGAATCAGATATTTCCGTGAAATGCGGATCAGATGATATGTGGTCACGATATGGTCTGATAAATGAAGTGGCATACCCAGGTAAATAGGATGTTGTTCGATCTACTTGTTCGCAAATATAAAGCAAATTGTTTATCAATTTCTCCCTATTTCAAACAGACAAGACCAACTGGGAAGGTCATAAAATTTTTGGAAATATTTTCAAATGTACTTCAGATGACTACAAAAATGATGCATATCATAATATGCAGGTATTAATTTCTTATCATATTATACAAATACTTGTTATATTGCTATGAATGACAACACACATTTGCCCGTGATACGTATTAAAAATATACTTCATTGTTTCAGGTTGAAAACATCATGATTTGGCACGTTCCTTCTAAATTATCGTTGACTACAATGAAGCAAGAAGCCTACCTTCGTTATAGAACAACCAATAAGTTTATGAAAAATTACGGTGGAAACTTGAAGAATCTATACGAAAAGCATTTCCCGTTGAAGAAATTAGGTTTAAATCTTGCTTTCTACTTAGTAAAGATTGCTGTTAACATTGAATGATTTTTGTCATGTAGTCATAAAAATTACGTGAAAGTGTGATTATAAATATATATTCAATATAGACATTAATTTTGGTCCCATTTTTGCTAAAATCCATCTGAAAATTTTTATATTCACAGACAGTCCAGCTGAAGATGTTCTTGAAGCTTTGGCAAAAAAGGCGGGAAATATTAGAAGACAAATACCAGATTGGTACGACTACACATATGGAGACAATCCTACCCAAATAAACGATGAAAAAATGTACTCGCCATATGGAAATCAGGTATCCAGATTTACCATATCGTCCTTATTTGTGAAATTTGAGACGTTTCAATTAATTACATTCCACCGTAACCTCATGTCTTGGACTCGCTCACTCTCAGCGCGAACTGTTTCTGTTAGCGGTAGGGTTAGGGTAGTGGTTCCCAACCTTTTTTATATCTCGGCACACTATTGAGCTCTTTAAATATTCGGGGCACCTATCACAAAACATGAACATTTTCTACTTAATAACTATTGATTAATAGTTATTAGTTACCAATATTATACCTGTTTTCTCACAATAATAAAATGCACGAGAGCGCATTCGGAGCACCTCACATTATTGGTAAAGATGGGCGGCCGCACGGGTAATACGTGGTCTTATTACGAACGTCGAAGTTTGGATTTATTATTACAGAGTGAATTCGGGATTTTATTCCGATTTTTATCTCTTGCATATTAAATAGTGAATAAAAACCCTGCAAAGTCCTTGCGTGAATCCTGAATATTATTTTGAGTTCGAATGGTAATTTGAGAAATCTGCAATAATGGCAATTCCACTAGTCAAATAGCAATTCCTTGGTGAAATTTGGGAAAAATTTCGCACAATAATTTGTTACCTTGTTTGCCATGTCTAATTTTACGAAACGGTGTTGGTGAGCTATATGCATGACTGTGAATTGAAACAATATGCGAATACGACTCATCAAATTTGTCGTTTACGTTTGTTAGCAAGGGCCGTGGCGGAATTCAATGGATCGGTTTAGCGACACACGGGTTCCGTGCCCAAGCAAAGCAGCCTATGTACTGGATATATGAGTTGTGAAATGACATGCTAATACCTAATAGAATGACATCGAAAGGTTGTTGTTACTTAACGATACACGGCGCGGTGTTTTTTTTTGGTTGGCGATCCCATCCCTAAATGTTATATTTTACTCGGTACCATAATGCTCCGCTACCAGGCAGTTTCTCATCTGTTCCACGGTGAGTAGTATGTATATATATATATAGCTAATTATAGTGTTTATGAATAGGCCAATTGATTTTAAATTCGACTCCATTTTATTATCATATTAATAGAATTTTTCACAGTACCGATCACCCCATACCACAGCAGTTTCTTTTCAAAATACTTTTGTATTTTACAATTTCATTTCCTTTTATAGGTAAGCGCCACTGGATGTGGAACTATAACTTACGGGCGGATAGAAAAAAGGTAAGATGATGAGTCGTCTGTAATTATATTAAAAAAACATACCGTATTCATTAATCATAGAAAAAATTATGACTTTATGTGTGAGCATCGCATTTCCAATAAAGCAAAAATAATCACTATCTATTCAATTTACAGATCCGAGGGGTATTTTTGTGGATCCAGGATGACAAAGCCTTTCTTGTTCGTACAAGTTATTTCAAACGAAATGCGGACATATACCTACATTTACACTCAGGTGACATTTGACAATACATTCATTGTATGGGTGGGCTATACTAATACGTTCTAACGAGGAATTTTCTGCTGCACTCCTCCTAAATATATAAAGTGAACATCCACCCTTAAAATTTCACACACAATTTCGAGGGGTGACAAACTTTTTTAACTTCCAACTTAAATATAAATGTATTTGAAAGTGACGTATATACCAGTGCAGATAACACATTTTTGTGATTTTCAAATAGTTGCATAGAATATAGATGATGGCTATATATCTACCACACCATAAAATTAGAAACACTTTCTATAAAATCAACAACTAGTACGCACTATCTGACCCCGCCAATATGAATACCTGTAAATAAATACTTTAGGCTTCTTGACGTAGTCATTTGACTTTTGTATATTTGAGCATTGATCTTATTCGCGGTTTAATGAATATGACGATGCCACACTACGAGGCTCCAGTCTAACCTAAAAATCAAACTTTAAAGTCATGTAAGAAAAATTAACAATGACAGCATGAGAGAATTATTCATCTCGTAAAATAATTGAGGATTATGGTCAGGCTACAAAATTTATGACTTCGTTACGTTAAGTGATATATATATATATATACCAATAAACTTTATTTCAGGTGCAATCTTACCGTCCAAACAGTAATGAAGCATTCACATCTCTCAGCAACAACATTACCAACGGAGATTACAAACTTCAATATCATTCTTTGCAATTTTCTTCGCCCGGTATTCCAACAGCATGCGAATTTCACTTCGTTGTATCAAATATTGTGAGTTTATTTTGTTAAAACGTTTGTTGCATACTTTTCACATCAGTGAAGTAATGATATGATATTTATAATCAATAACATCGATATTTTTGCGTTTGTAGTTAACACTAATATAGTGAAGGTGTTATTTTATCGTAACGTTGTATAATGTATACACTATGTCATTATGAGAGCGATACTCAAATATATGGACACCAATTTATAGTATAGTACGGCTATGCAATCTAGTACCAGCCGTCTTCACGTGACCCCCAGATCGCAAACGCGAAAGTAGAGCCTCTACTAGGTGCGCAATTTATAATTTTGATGATGTCACATCGCGATCGCACACAAAAAGCCAATTCATCAGAGCCCTAGAAAATTCTCGTAATAAATAAAAACCTTTTAGCGAAAAATACAATCGTTACCCACCGGAACTTTCAAAGCAACTGATAATTAGAAACAATTAGGCAATTAGAAAAAACGGCAGGAAAGGAAGTTTAACAACAACGGCGCGGAGGTGTGGCTCATCGTGCTGAGAGTTAGGAATACGCTCGCCACCGCACCTCTGATTGCTCTGCGTGGGTTCGCATCCCACGTGGGGATGGGTATGTCTTATGTGCGCGAGGATTGCTGGACTCCTCGCCGCCGTAGGGGGGGTTCACGTAACCGCTGGTCGGTTACGGCTTCCTCTACTGTCAAGTCCATTCTTCCGACAACCAATAACTAACTAATACCATACCCGACACGGAATGGTAATCGGACGAGAGGCCGTGGTTCGCAATATATGATTAGGCCGTCTAATCGGCTTTTCCCTCCCCCGGGATAAATATGTAAATCCTATCCTAATCCTAACAACATAATAATAACGAAACGATTCACAGCATTTCGTACCAACAAGGTTACCAAACCAACAATTGATTTTTACAAACGTACCTTTAATATTGTCAGAATTGGGGATCCGTCGAGCCATCAAAATTTGAACGAACATATCAACACAATCCATCAACTTATAGAAAAAACAAATATCAAATAGACGGATACCCTTCAAATGTCGTTATGGGATACATTCTTTTAGCAAGGTAGTTAAAAGTTGTCAAACAACTGAGTAACAATAAGGATATTTTAGGTCGTTTGAAAAATTGTATTCAACTTCTTTATGTACTTGAACTAGAGGAAAATAATGATTTATCTTTCACGAGGCTTATTCACGATTCGTTAGGAGCTGATATTAGTTGAAAAAGACCAAATCTTTTATTTCTTGCAACATTGGAGGACATGCAGTTTGAACCCACGACGTGTATTCTGTTTTTGTGTGCTATAAAATATGTATTCACACACATAAAATATATCTTTTTAATCTGGAAATTAAACCACGAATACCTTGTACTAAATACCTTGAAATTGAAGCTAGAAATTACCATATTTATTTCAGGGATAATGGGCAAAACATATCTACAGAGCACACTGATCAAGTTGCTAATATTATCCTGGAATCTATAATGACAGTTCCAAAACTATTTATCGGTAAATATATCACTTCATACGTACATCTCATACTTCTTTTGTAGTCGATGCGATTCTGATGAGTTTACAATGGCCTCATTAAATAAGGAATATAATGAAATATGTTTCTGATATTAGAAATTTGAATTTTACATTCTATTTAAATAAAGATTTATATAATTTTAAAAACTAAACAAACAATACACATCTTTAGAACCATTTCAATGTTAACGATGTTAAAAAGCTCACGCATGTATTTTGAACCTTATTGTCTACTTGAAGGCATGTCATCATCAAATATTCATTAATCATTGAATATATTCAGGTTAAATCCGATTTTTAAGAACCAAACTTTCGATGTTTTTGCAACTGTTTTTATTCACTTGCAGGCGACAGGGCATCAAAGATTGTTAATTCCCTCTACGCAAGAGCACCTCAAATGAGAGTGGCAATCCCGGATTATTATTATTATTATAGAGTCAGCTACAATAGAATATACGACATTAACATGTACTCCGGTACTGGAAATGAAGTATGTATTTTTAATAGCCTAATAACTCAAATTGCTCATCATTGCAATTTACAAAAATTATTTGCTTATCGAAGTCAGCTAGGAAGTAACACATCAACGTCCAATCAACAATAGTATTGAATACATGATATTGCGTTTTAAATGACCAATAGTATTTTTTCACGAAGTTACGAAAATTCATTGATCAAATCATAAGATCTCATTTCGAATCAATCCCACCATCTCTTATTCATCTTAGGTATACGTTGGAAGCTCACTTGAACATAATAGGTTGCAATATGGGGAAACTAGACGGTAATCATTTTTTTATATATTTGTCAATATGTCTGTTGTAAGAAGTAGATATTCGAGTATTATAATTGCAGCGCTTATAGAGCGTTATGCAAAGTGAAGTAAACAATCTCTATAGAATCTATACTAATTAACCTAAGCATCATCAAATATCTTTTATGGAATTTATAGGTTAATCTATACGAATACATTAATATTTTGATATGTAAATTCTAAGCCTATCTTCAGCTCAATTTGGGGAAACACGGTGATATATTATTTATCTTCTACTTATTTGTGATCTATACAGAATGGATAGAGACAGATCACTGGTCAAAACCAAAACTTCTCAACCGTTTATCATGATAAATGTTATCTCAAACGAAGATAGAGTGATCAAATATTACTACACACAAGTAAGTGAAGTTTCTTCACTTGTTTAACTCAAATACAAAGCCCCGCTAATTTTCCATAGGCTAGGAATCAGAAATGGAATGAAAAAAATCAGTACTATAGCACAGTTTCTGTGCTGAATCATTAACACATAAATGCACAACGTTGAACCTCGTTTCAGTTCTGACGTTTTCATCATAGGTATTGATCATAAGTTGTTTTGTGCTTGATGACAAGTGGTTCGAACGAGGTACCGTTTCAGCATATATTTAAAATGTTTAATTAGTGCTTTGAGAATCGGAGTACTCAAATTTTATTGAAATAAACAGCACGATTTGAGAGTAAACTCATGTCTAAAACACAACATATCTAACTGCTCTGTCAAAATTTTCCTTCGAAAAAAAGTATGAACACCAAGAAAATATTTTACAGATCAATTCACGACGAAACAACGATGAGGACATAGTCAGTCAGTTGCAGAACAACGTTACCTACGGAAATTATAAACTACAGTATAACTTGATCCAATTCTCTCACGAAAACCAACCGACTCCGGTTGAATTTCATTTCACCGTGTCTAACGTTGCAGTAAGTACACGTTGAAGCACATAATTATAAACATTAAAAATATGTAATTTTCACCGCAGCTACACCTACCACCGACAACAAAGCAGACAATTATTTGCATAATGTCATTAATCTCTTTGCAAGATAATGCATTCATACATCTGTACATCATAGAATACCTTGCATTTTTTGAATTCTTGCGCTAATAGAATTCTTATTTGAATTCTTATTCGTTTTTCAAATAAATTTAACCATAGTCCGAATTTCGTTTTTAGTAATCCAACGAAAAGTTTTTTTTCTTAAGCTATAGATATTTTTATTACAGAAGTATTGCATAAATAATATATTTTTTTTATCTAGAAGTGGAGTTCAGTCGAACCATCTTCGTTCGAGCGCACGTACTCTTACATTGGTGATGAATACAGATACAACAGGTTTCAAATCGACGGTAGTCCATCCAACATAGTTATGGGGTATTTGCTCCTTAGTAGGTAAAGATTTCTGTGCTGCTGACACAAAATAAAAACTGGGTTTATCAATAATTAAAATATTCGTGCTTGTTTTCAATAATAGGCAAAATGGAAGAAACGTGACAATAACTCAATCTGACGCCGTTGCAAGCATTATATTGAACGCAATTATGTCCGTGGATGATCTGTTCAATGGTATTTTTTTTCTTTCACTGTAATGCTAATTGAGTTAACGTTGTTTGATTACTGTACGTTATCTTTTTAAAATTATTGATATCATATCTTTCAGAGTATACGGAAAATTCCCTTCTGGTTCCAATCACTATTGACAAAGGAAGCAATGATCAAATCATGGAGATGATACCACCGATTTACAGAGCTCATGTCGAGCCGGGATATCTGCAGTTTCGTGCCTACAATTTGGACGGGATACCCCAATGCGTTATGTCCAGGTGTGAAGTAAGTGTTATCAAGTCATATTTGCGTTATTTTTTTCACATTGTATAGTAAATTTGTATAAGAGTAAAAAAAAACATTCACCAGACCGAAGAAACGAGAATATTTTTATTACCCAAGTTTAAAATCTACTCGCGGTGGAAGCTGTGTTTAGGGGAAAAAATGTAAAACAACAATTTATGTTTCAGGGTTAAATCAATCTCACCTGAATATTTATGCATTGGGGGTTTATCAAACGATGCAACAAAATATGGAACATGCGGTGACTTTGCAGGTATGATATAAAAGAGTGAGAAGTTGAAATAAATATTATTAGCACACGTAATCTGCTGCTAATCAATACATCTCACTAAATGACACCATGTTTGATATTGATACTACAATAAGATTCCATTACATACTTTTTCAGGATGGGGAGGAAAATCAAATGACATCATCGCACAGTCGTCTGCAAACGGATCCGCTCATTCAAAAAATGATATTTCGTCTTCCATCCTCATATTTTATCGTTAGTGTATTAGCATGTCTCTAAAATACACCTTTGTCATTTAAAATCCATTCTACGCGGGAAAATAAAAAGGAACATAAACACACAGCCTTCAAATATACGAGATTTAAAAGGTGAACACAAGGCTAAATATTTGCATTCGATTGTAGATTTTATTGCGAAAATATCAAACCCTTCAGACTTTAAAATTTTATTTACATCATCAAAAAAGAAAAAATATTTAAACAACGAGATTACCGACAAGCAACAAGCGATTTACCAAAAAATTATGAAATGCAATGTTATGTTCATGTGACTACATCTTCCTCGAGACTTGGTGTTAAAATTGTTTGTCTATTATACCACTTTTTACGTTTCCGAGAAGGATGAATTTTTGTTAATGACCAAGATTATTGATTGTGTATAAATCATAACTTGCTCTTTTTTGCTATCGTTAGATTACTTTTGTATATCGAACACGCTTGTTGTAACGCAAAAAACACATGTTATACGTTGATCTGATAATAATTTGAAATTTTTTTCCGACTGCCTTTGGTACTTCGGAGTTGCTAGAACTTTTTTTTCTATGCTCTGTTTTATACGGAATTTTAATATTCGCACTAGAATTCTCTTTTTTCGTTTTCTTCAAAATTTACTGCGATTGGAGGCTTGCGCCAGAAGAGGTTTTGTATTTTTCTCTTGTAATGTATCAGTTCTTATTTCAACGAGTTTTTTATTTGTATTTTCCGAACGAGTGCAACTTTATCGCTTTATCGATGGATATACAATTCCATTTAACAAAAGCATCCCATGAAACATTTAAACATATATATTTATATTCCAATAATTTTTCAGAATTGTATATATATATATATACATGTATTTCCCTCAGTCTTTAAGTTAAGCCCTTTATCAATAGCAACTCAAAATTCACCCCAATTTGAATCAAAATTATGAAAACAATATTAATTTTTTCCAAATTTTTAATTATGATTCGAGTAGGAACAAATGATGCAATTTAAGTTTTCGTAATCTTGTTTTTGTTCAGCAATTATAAATTAGAATTCATTCCCCAAATAGGCTACTTAATTAAATCTATGCTCTGAACTCAACGAATCATTTAAATATTTATAATTACAGTATTGGGAATTACATGACACGATTTCGATAAACGTGTATACTTTTCAATATCTTTTCAATAGAGTGATATAGTTTTTAGATTGATGTTTGTAGGATTGTATTCTGTATATGGTCAAAAACTACAAATAAAGATGAAACATCTAAAAATTCAAACATCTATTCATCCCCACTGGGGGTAACTTACCGGCTGTGATTGTTGGAACAAAGTCGGTTTACGATTTTGTCAACTAAACCTTGTCAATCATGTCTAATAACTGGTGGTAGAGTATGATTTGAATGCAATGAATGCTTATTACTTCAACGATTTTTTTTCGTGTGCATATATAATATATTAAATTACATATGAATTGAGTTTTGAGTGAAAGTTTATTAAGAACTCCAACGTATGTCTCACAAACGATCGGTGTGGCACAGAAATTCTCAACCTCGATGAGTCCGCGGCCCACCTTCAATTTTATTAACATTGCAGCAAAATAAGACGCAAAAGTTGCCGTGTGAACACGGAATCGAGGATCAAAATGTTAACTTGAGCCACTCTAACGGTATAAATAACGACATATCCGATTCCAGTGCGTTTCCATGAATTTGACAAAAATTCGGTTCGAGCGCGAAGAAGGAAATGGAAAATTCCGCCCAGATGAATCATGCAGCCACACAAACTGATGTGAACAGAAAATGTAAAATGCTCTGATTTTTGACTCTACATTTCTCTCAACATTTTTACAACCCGGAGTTGGAAGGCAAAATAATTTTTAATCCGAAGTCACGAGTTGAAGCCAAAATAGTATGAAGACGAATTTGTAAATCAAGTTCAAACTAGCGATAAAACATAAACCATGCATGTATATGATAATACAACACGTTCTACTCCGGAAATACATTAATATGCGCTATTATTAGACCACATGCCATTCAGCTCAATCTATTTCAAGATGGGAGTCGAAGTTAGACTGTAGGCTATCTATTGAATCTCCATCATTTTTTGACAAGATAACGGCGAAGAAAAGATAGGTCAAAAATATCAACGAAATTTTGCTACAAAGTTGTAATGATTTGATCATGCTATTATTGAAATATAAAATAGTTTATAAATTGAAAATAAGTTTTTTGCTGTTTGGATAATACTTGGCAAGGTTTCTTGAAGAATTTATATATATATTAAGATTCAATCGTGATATGCACGCAGGAGCGAAAAATCGGCGGATGTAATGCACATACATTTTTTGTTGTGCGATTTCTGATGTCTTTTGTACGGTATAATATTTGATACTAGCATTTGCACATCAAATATATTTGTTGAAAACTACCATATTCTTAGTAATCCATTTCTTGTACTGTTCTGTCCGTATTTTAATTGTACCACAAGGCGAATAAGACTTAAAATACGATGATGTCAATAGTTCATGGTGACAAAAGATCGAAAATTTCATGCTACGTGACATTGCCAAGTCTATCTTATTCCGGATACAGTGACGAAATATATCGATTGAGCCTTGCAAAGCTACATTACGCGGAAGCTTGGTTAAACTTAAGTTGTATATGTGGAATACTATTTTGCTCTTTTGTTGCACGAATATTTTTCTTAGCAGATAAGTAAAAGTGTACTTAAAAATTTATAATTTCTAATCAGTGGAGAAGTTTGTTTGTGAGATTAAGTTCGATACGAATAAAATGACTGATGTGACTTGGTTTACCAATGCTTTGACTAAAGAAGATCAATGTCCTCGAGACCCGTAAGTTGGCTTTACAATTTATTCACACGATTTTTACAATACAAAGCAGAGTCGTCACTAGGTTTTATTATTTTGGCGGTTAACCGGATAGCTAATAGCATAAATATTGCATATATAGGCTCATAAATGATTTTCATATATTTTGCTAAATGGCGTTATCCCCCAGAGAAAATAATAACAACTAACTCTTTTTTGCCTATATATTGGCGGTTTCTGGCGATGACTATTTTTGCTGTCGCTATTTTTTGCCATTAGGATTCTGGTATATTGTCTGGAAAATGAGGCAATTGGGCGGCGTTTTGCTTCGGGACGGGACACGATGCTAATACTCCACGATTAATGCGACGTAGGCCTAGTATCATCTGCCCTTTTAGTTGTTGCAGTGTATTGAAGGAACGTCTTTTACGATGGAATGAGACAGTTTGAATTTCGAGAACCTTTATTACAATGCGAAAGCGTAAACATAAGCGGAGTCTCGGACTACATGTAATCTGTGTACATTCCTAAATTTTAAGGTACACGAACACAGGTTATGTTTTAAAAGCCATTAAAATGAAATTCAAGCGCTACAATCCTGTGTGGAACTACTTTCTGCGATCAAGAAATGTCGAGAAGGCAAAATGCGAAACGTGTGAACAGCACAACTCCATAATTGATGCGTTGTTCTTTTTACGAAATTCATTGCAGAAACAGTAATAAATGGTCAATGGTCATTTCGCAAAGGCATGAATATGTATATATTTTCAATTTTGCCCGTTTTCCTGAATGACCAATAAAAAAATACGATTTGTTTCATTTGAGAAATCCCGCTCTTCTGGAACCATATTCTATGACAGAGATGGCGAACCTTTTTCGATGAATGGGTCAAAAATTACATTTTTATCGCGGAACAGAAGAGAGTGAGTCCCTGATATTTAATCAATGTTTGTATCTTAAAAAACTTCAGAAACAAATCTTATCTAAGCTTCTGTTGGTGTAGGTTTGGGATTATGCATCACTTCTATTGGGGACTTTTAATGGCACTCGATTTTATGAAATTAGAGTACGAAAACATGCATATTAATAAAATACAAAGTAGCATCTTGTTCTCGTATAACCCCTAAAACAGTCCGCAGATGCTCTTCCGAAAGAGACAAGACGTTGCGAGAAATGAACAGATCAATTGCATTGATATGTCATAAACGATGTCAGAGCCAATGGCCGAATTACGGTAAACAGCGGTGCAGACATGCGTCCAAGAATAGAGGTTTTAAAAATTACCATACCGGCTCGGAAATATAAATTTGAATATGAGCGATCGCAGCCTTGCCTGCCCAACTGACGGTACATTATAATAGTCTAGTCTAGTTATTGCTAGATTAATTTGAAGCCGGTTTATCAATTTTTATCACTGATAGGTTAGCATTTTATTTTATTTCATTCGTGCCTTGGTGGGTCACGAATAAAACGAGGTGTGTCACTTTGTGACCCGCGGGTCAGTGGTTCGCCATCCCCGTTCTATGACTTACACAGTTTGGCTGTTTTCGCAACTGGAGAGGAGATGCCGATTTCTTTGTTTTTTTACCTCCTCATTCATTTTCCCATAATACCCTCTTAAGTATCTGGAATCATCTATCGTCTTTCAGTGGACTTTGTCTCCGCTGTAAACTAGCTTTTTTGGATACCTCTCGCCCAAAAAAATTGCTAAAAATGGATTTTTTTTATGTTCGTGATTTTATTAATATCGCACAGTACCACAAAAATCTCGTAAAATCGATCCTCTAACAAAAAAAATATCCGGAGAATACGAGATATTCGTTATCCGGATAGTAAAATAGATATCCGGACTAACCCTCGTCGTCACGTGTGTAGCTACTTGAAAGAGGAAGATTTCAATCCAAATCAAAGCTGAAATAACGAGTTTCTTACAATAACGAGCTCTTGTATATAAAAATTCTTTACTAAACTGTTTTATGTGACGTCATCACTAGTAGGCACTTATTTAGAAACGTTGACGATGTGAAGTAGTGGTTTCTAAACATCACTATCGGGCGAACAAGAATACAGCATAGTATTTCATAAAAATCAAATTTGTGAATCTCTACTTGATGCAAAAATGAATTATTAACAGCACGAAACTAATATACATTTTCAATTGTATTCAAGTGAAATTATGTATGTTATTCTCCATGCAAAAATGGTCTCTAACTTCTTGCTCGTTTAACACTAAAATCTTCTTGTTCGCTTTCTGATCGCTTTATTTAATTCTCTTTCTACAACAAAGGTGGTCTCGAAGTTATGATGTTTACAGGACAGCATGTGAAACATGTCACGTTCCAACGAGGTCTGAAATCTACTTTGACAAGTCAAATTCTAAATTAAAGGTGAGTGCGAAGTCGATTTACTTTTTTTGTATGTGGAATAGTAAGGAGCCGACAATAGACTTTAGTCCTTCGAAACCTATGCCACGCGCGAAAAATAAAAGTGGCATAAACAAAACAATTTAAACATTAGCTCTCACGGGGAATGCGATCAACAGGGCAGAAAATTCGCATTTTTTGTGATTTTGTAGTTATCTTTTATTGCAAACGTGGGCAGTTTTATATATATCGTGATATTTAGATATTTCACGATATTTTTATGACGATAATATGGTAAAGTTTTTTGATAATCGTACATTAAAATTTTTATGAACGTGGTGTTTCCGTTGTCGTCTCTCACTTCTAGCTAGACCATAGCATTCTGCCAACCCGTTATAGTCTGTTGTACTGGAAGCGTTTAACAAGCGTCTATGGCTATGCCATTTCACTCGCGTTTGTTTACTGGTTTTACGCATTTATGTACAGCTAGCAACCATTCACTGAAAGCATGCTGACGTGTTATTCAAACAACCGGTAACATACCAAGGAGGGCGGGGGTGGGGGGAACTAAATCATATTTGAAAAATTAGCCAATAGGTAGAATAAGTTGTATACAAAGTAAAAACAAGAGATATAAATAACCCCAACCTTACATTACATTAAGTCAATAGCGGTACAGCTTACAGCTTAACTTCACTGACTAAAATAGGTCTTTCATTGAATACCAAACGACGGTATGCCAGTATGCTGTGATCCCGGTGTTGTTGCAAAATAGGAAGCACGAGCAGTTGGCGCGCAAATTTCACAGACCACAACGCGTTGGCAAAATGTCATGGTATATAGCAGGGGTGACCAACACGTCGATCGCGATCGACCGCCACGTCTCGAGCATTCGATCGCGTCTGATGTTGAAGGAATTTTATTGAAATGCCCCCCAAAATTGCCCCAGCCATTTGTGTGTTTTGCAACAGGAAGAATACAGTAGTTAACATGCGCAAAATACAATATACAAATACGTACAATATAAAGCATATCATCACGTAACAAATGCAAGTTTTTCCGCTGCCAAGGTTTAAAAATGAAGTGCTGAATATCGCGTGTCTAGACTGACAAACGATCCTACAATACCTTCCGCAGTATGCGAAAGTTATTGTCTTACTTCAAGAGTAGTGTGATAAATTTCATTCGCAATGGTAGCAGTGGCATCAAAATGCCCAATTTGTTT